AAAGGTAGCATGAGTCAAACAGGCCTTTAGAAATGGATACTGTTACAAATGTGGACAGATGACATCAATACAGAACAGAGTTAGTATTAAAAGACGTCAACAGTCCAAGCAGAAAGACTCCACTCACCTGAAACTATGACCCTGTACTCAGAGCGCCTGGAAGGCGGGCCATATCTGCCTCTAGGGGCTCCAGCTCCACCTCCCGCTCCACCTCTGCCACTCCTGGGGAATTCCACCCGCAAACGGTAGCCGTCATAGTCATAGCCATCTCGTCCATACACAGCATCCTCTGCATCTCTGGAAAGGCCAGAAAATAAAAGAAAGAAAGAAAGAAAGAAAAAAAAAGTTTAATCGACCAGGTGTACACACCGGTACTGCTCACTGCATTATAGCTAGTGTTTGTAAAAGACTCTTTTTCACTTCCTCAAATTTAGTGTTGCTATTCCTCTAGAGTTTAGTTAAGGAAACTGTGTGTCGTATGCTTAATCTAAACACCATCCTCATTACACTTAGCGTTGTCAGATGTTGACCTTAAATACAGACCAAAAAAAAAGTCTTACAGTAAAGATTAGGTCTTATTTAGAAGCTCCACTGTGATCTAGCACTAACAGTACGAAACTGCTTTTCACACAGTGTGAATAACCGGAATCAACATTTAGTTACACTGAGTTTACTGTCTGCTATTCAGGTTTTCTGGTAGACAGAGCTTTTGTATTCGCATGGAAAACAACTGTAAGAAAATCCAACACTAATCTCTACTAAACCCTCCAATTACAGACAATGCCCAGTTTTGTTCTTTGTCACATCACGGCATTATATACTCCATGATCAGATACAGGAATCTGTTTTGCAGGCTATTTAGACACTTCTCGATTCGCACTGACTGAATAGAAATTTAGATCACTTCATCTCTGCTATGCAACATTTAATGCACACTATTAATTGCACAAGTACAAACTTTAAAGCAATAAGATTTTTGTGTAAACAGTGCTTTCCACTGCTACATAAATATTGAAGGCTTCACAAAGTTGAGCAAATAAAATGAGTGACCTTGACAAATAAACAGAAGAATAAAATGAAGACAGAACAAAAACACTTTAAATGGTTCAAATGCGTTAACCGTTTGTTCTCGCTTGCATTCAGTCGATGTTTAACGTATTGTTGACAGTGTGTAGTGCTGCTCTTTTTTAAGCCGAAATAAACTTTTATGTTAACGAATTAAACTATAAGATATGACCTAAACTGTCACTTCATACCCACTAAACTAGACAGTAAACTTTAAATAAACTTTATCGCAGGGTAAATCAAAAACTAACACTAGCAAACTAACGTACCAAACATGAACCAAGAGGATTATCTTGTGCTAGCAGTGGACCATCGGGCTTTAAAGTCTTCAGGAGAAAGATTCACTCCACTAACTCAAGTATCGCCAGTAATACCGAACTTTAAGAACTAAGATAGTGACCATAGTACGTAGGTTATGTCACTTTGGGTCAGAAGAGCTAACGCTGGCTCCCCGCCCTGGTGTTGTGTTAGGACTGAGGCCTGCTGCCTAAAGAAAGCGCTTTTGTTGTTTTCACCTGGGGTCCTCGAACTCAACAAAGGCGAAAGGTGGTCCTCCTCTCCGATTTTTCAGGTCGATATCACGAATTGCCCCGTATTTGTAAAAAACGTCCTCGACGTCCTTGGTGCGAATGTCGGGAGGTAAATTCCCGACGTAAATCCGACAATCGTTGTTTCCTGCAGGACCTCGGATCACACCGCCGCCAGACATCTTCTACCAGGAGCAAACAAAAAGACTTCGGGCTTCACCGAAAACAAGAGTTCGCAGTAACGCTGATTACGCACTGCTAGTAAATAAACAATTAACAAAAGTGATGTAGAGGTCAAAGTAATTCTACCGAAAATAACTTCCAACCAAGGCAGAGAGAAAAACACGTCTCTTAAAATGGCGCCGTCTCTTCTTCGTGCTCGGCGGAAGGATACGTGAATGAAGAAGCTCTTGTGTGCGCGGAACACGGTTAGTGCTGGAGGACTTTTACTTTTGAAAATCCTGAAGTAGAAGGAAGGTGTGTTTGAGCCGGTGTATGATTTCATGTTTATCTTTAATGTATATATCTATATACATGAGTGTTATATGGCATGCCACCTGTGCAGTAACAACTGTCGACATAATGATTTCCTTCCTACACGGAATAACAATGTTTATATGGGCTATTTGTGCTGCCGTACGAATGAAAATGGTCAGTGAAAACAGGTACATCACTTTCAAAATAAAAGTTCCTGCGCGAGGAAAGACGCAACACGCTAACTTCGCTACTTTTAATTTGTGTCTTTACGTGAATGTTAAATTAATTATGTTACAAGGCGCCCGCGTTTGGATCTTTATAAAGGGATTTCACTCATTTTTCAAAATGTATGCCTAATTACAGACTCTATACAGTGGTGGTGATTGGAACCAGGGGTCACAATGTCTAAAACACAAATATAGGTATTTTATTTACTATCCAAAACCACCAGTGAAACTACACGTCTTCTGAATGTTTATAATGTTGAGAATGATAAAGCAGTGGCAAATCTGTAAAAATAATACGTTTTCTTTGGGGACTAAAAAAATGTGCCCAAAAGTTGCTCTCATATCCATCACAGAACTATTCCTTGAGCTTCAGGCAGTGCTTCATTCAGACAATAAACATTTCAGACATATAAAATGGCATGTAAGTCTCACCATGTACAGCCAGCCTTAAATAGGAATTTCAGTGATTTTTTTAAATTTCTCAATAAGTAAATCGTTAAGATGTAGTAAGTCATTTGTCGTGAAATGCTCGTTTCTAGAGAAACTAACCGAGTCAGAATTTTTCACAGTGGTGGTGATAGGAACCAGATGTGTGAATTCCTCTAAAAGCTCCCTCACAGAAAGTTATTACATGAAATGGTTATGAATTCACTACCTGATGCCCAAAACAGTGTACTTTTTAAAATCCATTAATGATGGAGAGATATATGTTGGATGTTATAAGGCAAACTAGTCTACTGTATTTGTGTTTTAGACATTGTGACCCCTGGCTTCCATCACCACCACTGTAAAGAAATCTGAATCTGCAAGGCCACTGCTTTATCTACCTTCTGCTGAGTGAAACAACTATTATATGGTGGCATCTGCTACTTGCCTTTCATTTCAGAAGGGGGTTTAGGGGTGTGGTATGTAAAACTGCAAAACTTTTCAACATGCCCCAGTTGCAGGTCTGTAAAGTCTTAGTGAGAACCAGCCTCAATGTGGCAATGTGAGGGTTATCATGAAACCTTTCTTGAGGTTGTCTGTGTGTGTGTGTGTGTGGTTGCTGTCAGGACAAAACCTTGTATATCCATTTGTCATTTCATTTTTTGAAACAATTAGAAATTACCACCTGTCCTTCACATTGTGTCAAAACTTTCTGATGAATGGACCAATAGAAATGGTTTAATTACTTGGAATAAATAATTTCTCCATTATGTTTCATTAAAAGTTAAGAATGTTTTCCCCTTCTACTGTCAAGTTACCTTTTTTGGAGATGAGAGGTTTTATCCTGACAGTGACTATATAAGCACTAATTCAAAGGGAATGGAAAAAGGGAGAGGAGCTTTAAAAGAGAGATCATTTGTCTAACTGAAATGCTTTGTATCTCTCCTCAAATCGAGTCCTGGGTGTGCCTGATATGGCAAATAGGAAGGTAGGTGTACTTTGTACCAAATAAACTGAACTCAGTATATATTAATGTTTATTATTGGCAAATTATTCAACCCCTGTTGAATAAACAGTATTCAAATGTTTGGAATTGGAATATTCATAATTGTGATTTATTCAGTAACAGCTTACATTAAAGCAATAAGCCACCAGAAGCCGGGCGTTACTGTGATTTATCATAGGGAAGGGTGTTCTGACCAGCCAAGTTCTAGTTAAGAATATAAGTTGCCACCCCCTCAATTTAAACAAAAAACGGGCTCTTACTTCACCAGTACACTCAGTGGTCCATGCAAACAGCACTAGAGTGAAAGGTTATTCCATTAACAGCAGAAGGGTTTTTCGTGCTGTGGCGCAGTGATACATAATTCAGTTGTTGTGAGCCGTTTCTTATGCGTTTATCATGTATTTTACAAGGACTTCCAACGCGGCTCAGCCAATCAGATTTTAGGACCGGAACTATCTGTTTGTGTAGACTGAAATACTATAAACTAGACATCATAAGATATCTTAGGATGTTTTTGTTTAGAATTTCAAGTGTTTTGGAAATACTAAACAGTTAAATGGTATTTATATATTGTAATACTGTTTATAAATCTTATGTCTTGATCCGTTATATTTGAAATTGTGATTCCAAACTATTGAACGCTAGTGTATATCGTCTTGTATAGATCTCTAACCTACAGATTTATATTTGTGCAGACTTGTATTTCACTAACACCCACCCTAACATTTAATAGTAGTGATGCTAAAAACCTTTAACAGAGGCTTCCAAACAGTGCGAGACGCACGTTCTCTGCGTCATCACGTACTAGATCCACTTTCCCACCAATCATAGTTGTGAGATTGCTGCGCATAACCTGTGTCGTGACGTCACGAGCAAATTCGAAACGCAGATTTCCAATCAGATCAAAGTGACTGAATGATCCGAGTCGATCATCGCAATTAAACGGAACTGTGAAAGTAGCTAAGATTCTATTGTGACGTCAAAGTCGTTAACAGGTAACGGTCATAGAGGAAAAGAACAACACACACTCAACTCGTTCTTTCTCATGCTAATCCGGACTAACGGTTGAATGATGCTTCGCGTTGTGACCTCACATTTACATAATGACGCCATCCGAGTACCGCCAGTCCATGTCTATGATTATGGCATTCATAAAGTAAAAAAGATGTATGAAAGCCTTTGGAAGTTTAGTTTTATGCTAAATATCCAGTCATACCAGAGCAGAAAGACCTGTGTAATATTTACAGCTGTTTAATCAATGCACACGTTGTGTATAATTTTCTCTTTATTCATTCATAACCTTACAAATAATAAATATTTTTAACAACAAAAGAGTTTTGTATTATCTCAGCCTGCACAAAATTGGGTAAAAGGAAAAAAAAAATCAGTAGTTACAAGAAAACTGGTTTCATACCGAACCAAAAGTGCTAGGCTTTATAGTAAAAACTTTCTTTCCAGTTATTCGGACAGAGTAATTAAACATAAAAACGTGTTAAGCAATAGTAATACAGAGCCTGTCCTAATGGGGAAAGCCACCATCACCAGTCTCTCTCATCTTTGAGGAAGCTACAGTACCTTTAGGTTACATTATGGCATTTTTCCCTTCACAATTAGTGTGGCATCACAAGAGGTGGGTAGACCAGCCTAAATCAATACTCAAATACAAGTACTGATACCTACTTAGAAGTAATGTACAGAACTGCAGTGGAACTACTAAGTAAATCCAGCATTTATCAAGGACTAAACTTTGTTAGGCTTTATATTTTTCTTTTTGGGACTTTTGGTCTAAGATAAAATGCTAAAAAATCAGAGGTGTGACCGTTCACAAAGCAGTACAGATGATGTCACCAACAAAACATAAAATGAAATGAATAACTACACATAAATTGCAAAAAAATGGAACTGAGTAAAAACTAGATTCCTTTTCTTGTTAATATACTTGAAAAGTATTATGTATAAATACTCACATCAGAGTACACATTTGTCAGTGTTTTACTGAAGTACATGTACTTGAGTAAATGTAACAAGAATCTACCCACCCCTGGCATCGCCATGTATGATGCATAATCAGATGCAATTCCTCCTTTCAGTTTGATGTCTGCTTATTGTTCTTTAACAATACTCAACTACAATCTGTTGTTTTTCTCCACAAACCTGTCTTCTCATTAAATCCTTAAATGATCCCTACACTGAAGGCTGACATGCAATACTGACTACTTCTAATCAAATGAAAAAAAACTTCCCTCACCACAGAAGCTGCCTCAGTCAATATACAGGAAGCATGAGCAATGCTGTTGTGCGACTGCTGATATATTAACATCGATGTACATGTCAAGCCTGTACTGGTACAGATAACTCTACAAAGGGCTTCTTAATGGGGTGTTTCTAGGGGGCTTCTGGCAAATTTCATTTCATCTGTTAGACAATTTTGTGTTTTCCTTTAGTTTCAGACTGTTTTCCTGTGTCAGTACATGACACTGTAACAAAAGGCAGCATATAAAATAAGAGACATTTAAAAATGTGTGAATGGGCTGACTGATATAAATTCCATTGATTTTTCAAAACTTATGCATAATGAAATGATTGAGATATAAACAAAGTCGTTCAGAGTGGTTTGGTGTGAAATGCTCTTCTAGAGAATCTTACAGAGTCAGAATTGTTCACAGCGGTGGTGATAAGAACCAGACGTCTGAAGAGTTTAATGCCTCTAAAAGCTCCCTCACAAAAAAGTTATTATATCAAATGGCTGCATGACATCTAAAAAATTGTTTTATAGTTTTCAGAAGGTTTTGGCCTAAAATGTATATTTTAAATGTATATATATACACACACAAGTATGGTGGAGGGTACATGCAGGGTGTTCTAAGGCAAAATACACCCCAAAAGAAAATATACCCACCCAGAATTATTTTACCATCATCAACATTACATATAAAACCCAGAAGACCTGTGTAGGTTCACTTGTCATTTTGTATAGCAAATAAAACAGCTACATTTGTGTTATGGCTATATTAGACGTTAATGACCCCTGGTTCCTATGACCTCCATTTTAAAGAAATCCAAGTTTCCATACAATGCACTCCATAAACCATTCAGAGTGACTGTTTTCATCTCAGTGATTGAAATGTAGAAATTCTGAATAATTGTTGGAATTCCCCTTTAACTTTTGAGAGACAGTGGAGAAATGAGAACAAACTGTTTCCAGGAATAACCTTGTAATGAAAAAAAAAAATCAGTGCATAGAATTAATGGTCACAGGTACACAACACACCAAATTCTCTGGCAGCTTTCAGTCTTTTTTGGCGAGTTTGTCTGCACGTCTTTGTCTGATCTCACTGGCAATCTTCAGCAGTGAGAGCACAATAGGCACACACATAGGCAGGAACAGAGGGATGTAGATGGCAAACTTCTGGTCATCAGGAAAGTATAAAAGATGCAAGAGAGAGGGATCAAAAAACGCCCTCTCAGAAGCCAAAATGGCCTCCCTACTGTACTGCAGTGCAAAGGCCAAGTTTCCAGCCTCCAGCTCAGCCACGGCTGCCTGCAGCGATGTCACCGCACTGGAAACCTGCAAACAAGAAGCACTGCTTACATACTGAAATCTACTCTATCTACTCTATCTACTCTATCTACTCGAAATACTTAGAGCATATGAAGCATGAATATAGTACTATGTATATCCAGTACCAGGTCATGTTGGTGCAAATGAACTTTAATGTTAATGAGACTGCAAGAAAAGGGTAAGTGCATGCAATTATTCGTAATTATCTAAAGAAACTGTAGTAGTGTTTAAGTTGTTAGCAATTTTTATGAGAAGCATTTTGAGAAGTATTAAGTTAGATTCTATACATCACCACTGTTTGAAAAAAATCTCAGTTTTTTCTGATTCTAGTTTTTCTGCATCATTTGAGCACAGCAGCTATCCTTTACATTATGTCAAATTTCATGATGAATTGACCAATTTACTCACCTGCTGGGCGATATTGTCATTGATGACAATGTTGCTGATCTGGTCAAGCAGTTGGGCGAGGGAGGTGATGGTGGTGCTGGCCGTTGCAACGTTCTCCACACTGCGGCTCCACATCAACCGGTCCAGCTCCCAGTCCGCCACTCCTGCACTGCCTGCACTCTGCAGCACAAAGCCAGGAGGAGGCTGAGTCTTCTGTACACCCAGCATCAGCCTAAGAGAGAAAGAGGGAGAAATGTTCAATATTAGAAAACTGTCTGTAGGCAATTGATCGAGAAGGGTCTGGCTGCAGACATGCACTTTCAGCCTACATTCACTGCTAGCCTATTGATGACGTCAGTGCACGCTCTGCCACGACAGTGTTTTGTCGGTTTTATGAGGAAAAACAGAGAATCACGTACTGTTTGGACAACAAGAGTTACACTGAATGTATATTAACATTGCCAGACTGATAATAAGGTAATCAGATATGGAAACTTTCAAAATAAAACCTGCCACGACGATAAGAGTTAAATGTTGGGTTTATTCACAGAAAAAACAAATAGGCTACTGAAACTAATGAAAGCCATGCTGAAGACGATTAGAACCGGTTATTAAAAACTGTAATATTGATTAAAATAGAACTTATTAAGGATTCTAGGAGGTTGTGACAACATACAGTTACTTTTGCTGTCTCGTCAACGTCGTCACAACCTCCTAGAAAACTGTCAGACAACGTTCATAACTTTAAGAGGAATTACATTTCAGCGTTGTGACAGTGTAGACAGCACCAAGCAGACAACGCTGTGGGCACGAAAACAGTATGTTGTCACAACGTAGCTGTGTTTGCAGGGCCGTTAGGAATAAAACCTGATGGTTTTGCTTCCTAACGTGAAATGGCTTGATGGTTGCCGTTAGAGGCCATTAGGAAATTATCAAATTTATCTGGAATCAGTCACAAAACACCTAATTAAATGATCAGAATCCTTTACACCGTGACATCAACCCATCAGGAAAACACAGAATACCATTAACGACTACTGAAAACCACCAGGACACTTTTAATGGGTTCTATTAATTATTTCAACAGGGGGGTACATTAATTGTAACTCTCTAGCCGTGTAATGGATGAAAAATGGATTAAGTGATGATATCACTAAGCAGCAGCAGGCAAAAGTTAACGTGCTGTTGGGCTGTTTCTGCTATTGTGGCAGAGAGTGCACATGCACACGACGTCACTGGGGCTGAGAGTGCATCTGGCTGAGAGTGCATGTCTGCAGCCAGACTCTACTGAATTGAACACTAACATCATTAACTTGTTAAGAGCATGAAGTTTAAAGGAGAATTCCACTGATTTAATACAAATCTGCATAATGCAATCATGATATGTAAACAAAGTCCTTTAGAGTGGTTTGATGTGAATTGTACAAAAATTTTGACTTGGATTTCTTTACAGTGGTGGTGACAGTAACTAGGTTTCAGGATGTCTACGACGCAACTATAGCCATTTCATTTACCATTCAAAATGACCAGAGAACCAGCAATAGCTTTGTTTTCATTGAGTGTTTACATAAATTGCAAGCAGTAAAATGAGAAATGGAAAAAAAGTTCCATCACACTGAGTTTTGCAATGTAATGCATTATATAATGATGTCATTTCCTGCAAAAAAACTGCTGTTGCATGTTGCTGCACTTTATCTCATAACTATTTTAAAGCAACGTCTAAGGCACCAGGCAGTGTCCCCATAGCCACATAATAACTTTGTTTGCTTTTAGAGGCATTAAAAGGTTCAGACGTCTGGTTCCTATCTCCACCACTGTGAACAATTCTGACTCTGCAAGTTTCTTTAGAACAGAATATTTCACACCAAACCACTCTGAATTACTTTGCTTACATCTCAACCATTTAATTATGCAGAGCTTTCTGAAAAAGCTCTTTAGCACTAACTCCATCAGCCAACTGCATACCTTAACTGTGCCAAGAAGACCCCCATTACTTTGCTCATGTTGATGTTGATATCCACAGGAAATTCAGCCTCAGGCCCATACATGTCATTCACATTGTACACCTAAAAGATCAGAAGTATAATGAAGTCACTCTAATCATTATGCAGTAGAAGTGTGGCCTGTAAACAAGGCCCATCTATTCTTTTAGAATACACATTAAGATAAGCCACACTCCCACCCTAGACGGTCTCAGCACTATAGAGTTTAGTGTTAAACTTTACCTTATTTAACACCCCCGACTGAACTCATTTACAAAGTAGCGGGGCATTTTTAAGGCCTGTTAGATGGAAACACTAGACTCTAAATGGCTATGCCCTTACAGGAGGTTTGACAACCCTGCGTTAGTGGACTGTACCATGATTCCCCCCCAGCGTGGGCTGTGGAAGGAGTTGGAGGGAACCTCCCTCTTGCTGTGGTCTCTAATAAAGAGAGGAGAGTGTTGGGCATCAGGCACATACAGGAGGAAGTTCAGCACAGGGTTTGAAGATGCAGCATTGGAGCCTACACATGATACAAAACCCAGTTATCATGCTGTTCTTTTCAGTTTCAATAAAGTGGTGAAATACATAAGAAATGGCTTTATGTAAAACCAATGCCAATCAGAAATCTGAGCTAGGTCAGTGTTTTGCTCAATGATAGGTGGATGAGGAAGAGGGGGGTGGTAAAAACATTACTCAATCAAATTGAACATTGAAAACAGGGATTTTGTCTTTTAAATGATAAGTCATACTTATTAAGACCAGGGACATTAACTCATTTTGAGATGATGTTGGTTTCAAGATTCTTTAAAGGTGCAGGAATAAACAACACATTAGCCTTTAGTTTCCAGAGCCATTAATGTGGATGATAAATTTCTTATGTGTAAAAGTTAATGTTGATATGTTTAAAGTCAAAACATCATCCTCACCAAGTCTGGCCTCCACAGGATTGATGACGTGTGCCAGGCTGTCTGCATTGAGCGTGTAGGCTGACACGCTGTTATCAAAACGAGGGTTGACCCCCAACACTGCATAGTACAGGATCTGAAGAAAAAAACGGTAGATACTTGTTGATGACAGACAGCAGCTGGAAAGCAGCACAATTCTCAGGAAATTTGCCCTACCAAAAAAAAAATTATTCTTAACAACCTGTGAGTCCACTGATAAGTTAGCTATTGGGTTCAGTTTGTCCAGGAGAGGCTGGATGTAGCTATTAACAGCACCCTCAATGTCCCAGTGTAGGCTGTGCGACTTTGGGTCAGGGTTCAGGAGACTGAAGGTGATTTCATAACCTAAGGGTCAGAAAAAAGACATCAAAAAGGGAGACAGACGGGGTGCGACTGACAATGTTTTAACGTTAACGTATTTATATGAACACATCATCGTGTCAATTAAACAATATCTCAGAATTCAGGCATAAGTTTCCATTATCAATTACAGTAATAACTTTCTGTAAAGTAGCTTTTAGAGGCATTAATTGATCTGGATGTCTGGTTCCTATGACAACCACTGTGAACAACCCTGACTCTAGACCTGTTCTTTAGAACAGACTATTTCACATTTAACCAATATGAGTGACTTTGTTTACATCTTACAATTGAATTATAGACAAATGCAGAAAACTCAGTTCCCCTTTAAGACACAACAGTGGACGAAAATAAGAATAAAACAGATATATAACCTGGACTGGACTTTATGGCCCTCATGCTGTCGGCCAGACTCTCCTTGCTGACCTGGCCGACACGGATGCGGTCGCTCAGGGCAGCCAGGATGTCGTGATGGCTGAAGGACATGGTGTCGACCACTTGCTTCACCTGAGGCTCCAGAGTGGACAGGACCTCTTTCAGGCCAGCAGTGCTTTCAAACGGAGCGGCACGCAGCAGGGCAGTGCGCCGCTGCCCAACATATACCTTCACATCCTTAATGAAAAGAGGAAGCAGTCTGTTATTTTTAACAATTGTATCTTCACAAATTAGGGCAAAAGGCTTCGGTATTCTAAAGTACCACAAGCATGATGGATGCCACCACTGATCTAAAATCTAATGTTAAATCTAATGTATCTCAGTAATGAATGGAAAAAATGTGAATGGAGTATTTTTATATTTAATAGCCAGCTTGTGTAATTATGTAATTTACACTGACCTTTGCCTGTATGCACAGCATATAGCTAATGATGTCATCACTGTCGGAACAAAACCTTGTATCTCCATTTTTGGAAATATGTTCTTAATTTTTTTTTACACAATTTGAGAACATCACTCTTTGGATTTTGTGGAAATATCCTGACAAACAGACTGACAGAATGATGGTCTGGAACCAATGATATATACTGATATAGCTACTACACTACTATAGCCATTTCCTCTCCAATATATATTGTATCCAATCCCACCTCCTTGTTAGCACCCCCTCCCATCTCATGATACCACCAGTGCTAGGAGGGAGAAGGCAAACACAAGCTTCCACCAAGTCATGTGAAGCCAGCCGCTGCATATTTTCAAACTGCTTCTAATGCAACATCAATGGACATCTGAATGCGCTTAGAGGAGAACGCTAACTGCCAGTTCTGTTATGTCAGCTAACAGATGCCTGTGCTGACTACTATCGCGCTGGGTGATGGAGCAGAGGGCCAATGAACCCACTCAGAGAAAGCGAAGCCAACTGTGCTGTCTTGGACTCCCGGTCACAGATGGCTGTAGCATCACCAGGGGTCACACTTGTGATCTCCTGATGATAGGGCCAACACTTAGGTGGTTGATTTTCATTCAAAATTTGAACAAAAATCTAACCTTTATTTGAAGTATGATGATTGAAAGTAAATCCAAAAACTTACTATTAAATACATAGTTTTCTCAAATCTATGTGTGCCACATTTGTTGGCACCCCTTCATTTAATACTTTGCGCAGCCTCCTTCTGGAAAGATAACAGCTCTGAGTAATGCTTAATGAGACTGGAGAACACATGGCAAGGCATCTGAGACCATTCCTGCATACAGAATCTCTCCAGACTTGTGGACTCTCCTCTTCAGCTTGTTCCACAGATTTTCTATGGAGTTTAGATCAGAGGACTGGGGTGGCCATGGCCAAAACCTTGGCCAAAACCTTGATTTGGAGATGGCTCCCTCGTCTACTAAACCCCAATTTAACCCCTGGATGAGTGTATGCATGTGTCTTACCGCTGGGAGCAGTGTGGAGGTCTCAGGGATGATATAAACAACCACAGAGCCACAAGCACTCTCACTAAGCATGTGCAGGGAGAGATCAGCCTCTGCGAAAAGAAAGTCAAGCATGAATGCAGGCACATTTGCCATCATACAAGATCACTCATTAAACACAGAAAAATGACTAACCTTGAGCACTGGGCTGGTTCAGAGCATCTTCTTCCATGATGGTAGCAGTGCGATACTTAGTTTCATATCTGTACTGCAGCGCTGTCTTAGCTAAGGCAGAGAAAACAAGAGAGGGTGAGCGTGTTGTCCTGCTTTTTTTTTTTGTAGAGAAGCAGAAGAAAACTCTTACCATCTACTTGGTGCTCTTGTTGTCTGGTTTGACTGAGTGGAACCTTCTTCTGCTGCTCTGGACTAAGCGTTCCTCGAGAGAAGACCACCTCTACCTCAACGCTTAACTGAAGCTTCAGACACAAACCACAAACACCACACATACACACTCACAGATTTCAAAATCAATAAACAGGTACATCTACCTTTGTAGCTACACTTATTGTCTGTTTGATCAAGTATACCTACCATACAGGTGCACACAGGTTACAATTACTGACTGTAGCCCATCGGTCACCATGCTCCATTTGATGAACCATTCCTAGCACTGCAGTGACACAAACATGGTACTACTGATGTGGATGATATGATCACCCATTAACATGCGACTATCATGTTGGTGTCACTGCTGTGCTGAGAACAGTCCACCACCAAAATAACATCTGGCCAGTTGTGGTCCTATAGTAGTTCAATTCCATTGACGGATAGGGCAGAAGGGGAGCTAATAAAATGTGCATGTGCAGTATTGGGCATGGTGATCTTAGTCTCATATGCAGCTGCTCCAGTGCCCCTATTCCACTGGAAATGCTTTTCTATGTGTGCTTAATAAAAGGCCCATGTCAGAAATGGGGGCAGCTAAATTTACCAATTAGAAGAAGTGTCTAAATCCTTTTGGACATGTAGTGAAGGTGTACCAAACTGGCACCTGAGTGTACATGAAAACATGAAAGGGGCATAAATGGAAGTTACCTGTAAAGAGTCGAGCTCACTGATTTGTGAAAAGGGGAGCCAGGCTCGGTATGTTTCGGTGGTCTTCCACCATAGGGGGATGCCAAGCACGATGACCACAGCGGCTATGGCCAGGGCAGCATATCTCCCTCGCTGCTTTTCTGTATTCAAAAATATCAAACCTATCTCAGAGCCGCAGTGGATAAAACAGGGAGGCTTGTCAACATGAGGGAAGTACACACATACAGGAATAAGGAATATGAATGAACATATCTGAATCCCCCATGTTTCAGACTGATTAACCCACCCAGCTCTCATCTCTAACAACCACAAACACTGAAAGACTCTCGACTGCGTGCTGGTTAGATCGTAAACTAGAAACGTTCTCCCTTCTACAGCTAATTTAGAAACAGGTCCATATGAAAGACAAGAGCAGGAACACAACAATTCACTGAAACTAAAACCACAAGTACAGCTGAGAGAAGAAATCGAGTATAAGTGACTCGCCTATCTCGATCGCTGCCATTGCTGCAGGAAACTACTACCGCGTTTCACCCTGACGCAGCGCTCTGGCCAATCAGAGCACTGAAGGGCCGGAGCTGTTGATGTACGGAAGCCTCGACAGGACAGCTCGTGTTTGATTTAAAAGCGCCTTTTCTAGAGCTGTTCGATTCCATTAATTATGGAGTCGACTCCGATTAGAAGTGAAGGAATCGATTCCACGAGTTGATTCAACACAATATTATTCTGTATTCTCAATTCCAAAAATCTAGACAGGAAATGAGCTTTCGCAAAATTAAATACACAATGTTAAGTACACAATACACCATTATTGCTGATGGTATGAATGACAGTCTCTTAAAGGATCTTGATGTACTAACTTCACATGCTGGTTGTTCTTCAGGGACACAATGTCACTTTAATTATATGGTCTTATTGATCCTATCAAGACAATCTGGAAAGATAACAGCAGATAAATAAGCTTAGGAAAATGCAGCCAATCTATCTGGCTTGTAAGGACATGGAAAAGGACATGCCAGAAAGTCACCCTCCTAACCCCTACACTCTCACTCAACAAGAGAACACACATATTTTTATTCTATATAAGCTTTATGTTTTTTTTTTAATGTATTTTTGAGGACAAGACAAACGATTACAGACTACAGAAGGGCACATATGTCTCAGACTGCTCTGCACATCAGCAGTACATTGGTGGAATGCACAGTTCCTGGGATTGCACATCACTGACAATCTCTCCTGGTGCTTGAACACCTCATCTTTAGTGAAGAAAGTCATCATAGAGAGCATCCTGATCTGCAGCATCACGGACTGGTGTGGAAACTGCTCCATCTCAGACAGGAAAGCACTGCAGCAGGTAGTGAAGACTGTCCTGTCCAACACTTGGTTAAACTTCCCAGCCATTAAGGACATCTACACCAAAAGGTGTAAAAGGAAAACGTGCATTATGAAGGTTGCAGATCACCAGAGCCAAGACTCATGAACAATTTCTTCTCATAGGCAGTCAGACTGCTAAACGAATTTGCCTGATGGATGGCTTTAAACATTCTCATTGAACTGCTACCTCAGCCTTACTACCCACTTTCATCTGGTGCACTTTACCTTTCACACATAGTCACTTTACTGTGAAACTTCACATGCACGGTCACTCTAATCTGTACTTTGCCTGCAGATTTATTCATCAGAAAAAACCATGTAACCATTATTGTTGCTGTGGACCAAGAGCTGGTCTGTTTTCTCTATTGTACTGTGCTGAATGGTTGTACAGTTATTGTGTATTGTACAGAAGAGTTTATTGTATGATGCTGGTCTAGTTTGTCTGTGTTTATCTGCTGTTGGTCTATGTTAAATGTAGCACCAAGTCCTGGAGAAACTCAATTTCCTTTCTCAACACATCTGTGATGACAAGAAATGACAGTAAAGCTGACTGACTTTATAGTTACGAAACAGTGTCATATTAGATAAAAGCTTTTTTAGAAACTCAGTTTATAACCTACCTACTTCCCTGATTTGTGCAATGCTTTGCATTCATTTTTCACCACAAACACTTTTACCTCCAAGACAAGTGTTAACACTTCTGGGGGTACTTACTAATTTTGCCATTTGGCCAGAGAACCTAAATCCAAAGTCAAGCTTGTCCAATAGGAAAAGAGCTGAGGGACATTTCTATTGGACAATCTTTATCTTTGGGCTTAAGTTATCTGGCTAAATGAAAAATCCAGCTTTGTGGAAGACCCCCTGGTCTAAGCAATTAAAACAGAAACTTGAACATTTCTGTGTGGAATCGAGTCTAAAGCTTCGGAGTCGACTCTCGATTCACAAATGCTTAGAATTGGAGAATCGAGTCTTTTGTGTCTATAAGGCAGCCCTAAAGTAGCTAGAAATTAGTAGAAACATTTAGGTTCGGCCAACATGTGAATGATTTAATAAAAATAAAAAGTTCGACAGTAGTTCGAAAACTTTCATCATTCATTTGACTGTCATTCCTGGACGTCCTCGGTGAAACTGAAGAGATTGGTGAAAAGAACAGTCCAGGGGTTTATCTCAGAAAACGTACCTCAGATAGACTTCAACACGAGCAGAATGAAAAAAGCTACTTGCTTTCAGAAGCTCTAATATACTAATAATTCAGCGGCACAATATTCTCCCAAAGCAGCTGTTACTTCCATCTTCTAACGAGACCTGATAAAGAGCAAACCGCATGTGATGTTATAAATCAACTGGGACTATTTTATTACTTCATGCTTATTTGAATGTCGTTGGTAGTGATGCGTTTACATACGTCACTGCTTTCCTCCAGTGTGTATCCCTCCCTCTCATACCTGGTAATTTCGCCCAAGTGACGCGAACAGAATAACTGTGAAGTTAAAAGGTAAGTAGACTAGTTTTGGTTTTATACAGATTTATTTTAACATTTTCGCTAAATTGTTCGATCATAACTCACATAATAACCCAGTGATACGATGAACAGTTTTATGTTTGCGGTTGTATAGGCTACTGTGTAGTATAGACTGGACCTGGATGTAAACTACATTATTATGGAATTACGTCAAATTTCAATTGGAGTAAAAAAAATGCTTAATTTTTTAAACCTTTGCCCCAAAAACTTTTGTGGCACAATTATTAACAAATAAAATCTAACATAAGCAAATTATACTTAATTTGCATCTTTAGGAACCCGTTAAAATTAACTTCCGGTTCAATTTACTCTTTCTTCTGCTAAGATACTAATATACGTACTCTCAGTTGTTATGGAAGAGCTGAGGGAGCACCTTCACATCTTCAATGCACTCTTTAGGAACACAATCAGTTGTGGCAATGAGAACTTGTTTACTAAGTAGAATAAGGTAAAATAAATAAATAAATAAAAATGAACCCCATGTACATAAGCAAAGATCCCGTATCCACCCTCTGAATGGCCAGGGTCTGTCTGTGTGGTCTATGATAACCATGGCAGGAAGTTCGGAATGATGAGTCATGCGTATGAAACACTGGGAACTATTTGTTCAAAGACTTTAATGGTAAGTTTGCAAAGTGGATTGTTCATCAAAATGAAAAGCATCTGAGCCACGTGGGGATTTTAATCTTTTTATTTTAGAGTTTTTTCTAATCTGACACACCAAGTGCTTAAGAGAACAACGACACAATGACGTCACAGTTTATCTGACTCAGGCGTGACTATGCTCCCCCCTAAAAAGTTTCAACGTTTGGTCCGTGCCACCGAGTTAAGCCAAGGAATTACATTTTACATTACATTGTCTATGTTACACTGGAATTTTCATTGTCTCCAAGGTCCCTGCACCACTGTGCCACTAAGATAGAGGGAGAGCATAGTACACTTAAGCAGAATACACAGAATAGCACATTTAACCGCATAATTGTTCATGTCTTTCAAACCAATATAGTTAGTATTCTATGCTTAATCATACAGTAGCTGCACACAACCCAAAACGCTCATCACTACAACAGATGAGAATCGAACATTGAGTTAAATGTTCCTCAGTGTTCGGTGTAAGTTGATCATTTGTTAAAACCGTTGTGAGGCTGTGCATTTGTCTTTTCATGTGTACTGACCTATACACCTCACTCCCTCCATCTCCCTCTCTCTGTAGGATCAGACTGATTGTTTTGCTCCTGGTTAGCATTCATGGTACTCTCATCAAGCAATGCTAATGAGACACGAAGTCTGCATAGCATGAACAAATGAGACCACACAACACATCAACTGGAGAGGCTGTGGCTGCACTTTACGGGAATGGAACTTAATGGAACTTAATGGAACTTCTAACTCAGCCATAAAAACTACACAAGCTGGGGAAGCGTGCCCGAACTGAACACTTATACTGAAAAAAAAGTAAGGTTTTCAAAAATATACGACTTACAGTTGTTAATATTTGGCCGTAAAGGCAATACCGTTTTTTAAATACAGCATGATGACCACTTTAACAATGGTTATATAACCAATTCATTTTATTTAGCAACTCCAACAATATTAGAGAGCCCTTTCAGACCCTCTCAAATGCCCTTTAAGCTCTCCGTTCCTTGCTTTCCGATCTTCTTCTTCTTTTCAATCAATTTTAAATAGACAGACTAAAGGAACATTGCAATGACAACCCTAAAAGTACAGACGACAGCGCAGGCCTGTGATTGGTCGGTGACATGGAGGGTAGCAGTGGTGGAAGATACTATTGGTCGGCGGTAGCTGGAGTAGGAGGGCGGTGGGGGATGCTTTAGTAGGCGTGGTTGGCCACGTACAGAGACTGTGCTGCAGCTCCGCCGGTTCCGCTGGACACGTACTTACCCTGGGCGGCCAGGCCATTAGCCTGTGGGAGAGAAAAAAGGTAATAAATGTTACCGATTTGTAAGCTGGAGAAACAAAACACTTCACTTCATAACAGCTAAATAAGTAGTTGTCCATTTAGTTGTCCCTTGAGCATTGTTTTCTTCAGCTACCCATCTCAGCAGTATGTCAGCAATCAGACACTAATCAGAGGTAACCATTTTGCCAATTAACCATTACCTGTAAATTTAGGCTGTAAAATATCAATGCATTGTAAAAAAATATTGACCTGAAGGTGTTAATCCAACTGATTTAAACTATCAGAATTGATTATAATAATATTAAATAAAGTATGTGCTCATTTTTTGGCTAAATAATTCTTACCTTTTTTCAAATGTAAGTTATGCAAAAAAGCTTGGTGTTTTGTTTTTATTGTCTATATTCTACTATGTAGTAAACAGTTCCTCCAAATCACATTTGTGATTTAAGTGGCATTTTAAAAATAATCATAATATAATAAAATAGCGATGAAATTTAAGACCCATCGGACTGAAGAATGAATCACAATCTAATGCATCTGTTGTAATGTCAGTAGTACACCCCTAATAACAATGGACCTCTGTGTGGTTATGGGTTTTGAATGTCAGGCAGGATTTGAATAACTGACCTCAGCACGCTTGATGAACTCTTCGGTGGCGGCCTTCTCGTTGTCCCTGGCTCCACGCCAGGCACCGAGGGCGGAGGCCTGCAGGGCACGGCCATAGGAGAAGGTGAGGGCCCAGGGCTTGGGGAGAGGGCAGGTGTTAATAGCATTCAGATTGATGGACGCCTCCTCTTCACTCTGTCCTCCGGACAGGAAGGTCACTCCTGAATTAAAATATCAATCCAGCCACTTTAGCTCTGCCTTCAAGCAAAAGCATAATTGACAAAAATGTCAACAGTAGCTACAGAGCATTCCAGATACCACATGCTACTGCACTATGGGCTATTTAAAGTTTCAATCTCACTGTTGCTAACAATGAGTGAAAGCATTATCCTATTGAGAAGCATTACTGTACGAATAAAAGCACGATCCTCCTGGGGTCATTGCTAGCTTTCATATAAGCTCCATTTGTAGGTGAAATGTAGATCTGTTAGTATTGTTTTGGGTGAAAATGAAACAGGGCTTGGGTCTGAAAACACTTCATTACTACAACCATCAGCAGTGCAATCCATTAACCTGGGACTGCAGGAGGTACGGTGCGGCGCAGGGCGGTGACTGTTGCCATGGCAATTTCCTCACTGGAGAATTTGGTGGGGCAGGAGTGTCCTGCTGTCACCATGTTGGGTTTGAGCAGTGTGCCCTCCAGGTAGACGTGGTGGTCAGAGAGAGCCTTGTAGCAGGCAGCAAGGACCTACAGCACAGACGAAACACATCAATGGGTGGATTAGAGATTGAGATTCAGTGAATGAGATCTATGATTCAGATTCAAGCTCATAATTAAAAAAGAAAGAAATTAATTACATAAATGAATTACATATACATACAAAAAAAAAATGAAAATGAAAAATAAATAATGACAGACACTAGACATGGTAAGAGGTTGCTAAATATCTACCTTCTCTGTAACATACTGGCAGCGCTTAAGGTCATGATCACCATCAGGCAGGATCTCTGGCTCCACAATGGGCACAATTCCATTCTAAAGAGAACAATGAAGAGAACATTACATATAATTCGTACACTAATTTGACAATTACCTTTGCTGCCTTTAGCCTAGTTCAAGAAGGATAAATTTTACCTAAGGAGGTGCTATCATTTAAGCAAAACAACATATGACGTTTGAGTCTAGGGTGTCTGTGGTAATCTGAGAAAATCCAGTCCACTTCCTTAAAAATATTATTACAGAAACTGCTAACTAATCCAGCTCAAAAAGGGCTTTGAAGCAGAGTGGGAAGGGTTTTAGAGCTCACCTGCTGGCAGATGCTGGCATAGCGGGCCAGAACGTTGGCATTCTCTTTGATGGCCAACTCTGAAGGTGTGGTCTCGCTGATCTTCAGCACACTGCGCCACTTAGCAAAGTCAGCACCGTCCTTCTTGTACTGAGCACAGCGTTCTGACAGGCCATCCAGTCCTACAAACACATACACATGATTTTTGACTGTCTACTAAATATTTACTTTATTTATTCATCAGAGACAAAACAGAATAATCAACATTATGATGGGAAATGAGTCAAATAATTAAATTATCTGTTTCTTTTACTATATCTGCACTAGGCTTAACTAGTGGATAATGTACTCACCCTGTGTTGTGGTCTCGCCATTGGTTCCTGCCAGAGGGACAACACCTTTGTCGACCTGTTAGGCAGAGAACCAAAATGGAATCAGAAAGCTAGATGTGTGTAATGTCCTAAATACTCGTGACTCATGTGGGACACGTGGGGGGGTGGGCAAAACATCTGGTTTGCCATCTACGAGGGTGTACATGAAAGGACACCTGCTTCATTTAACTGAGCACATAATCCTAATCCTGCACTGGCTGTGGTATTTATATATGCGCTGACAGCTACAGGGCTTATGTGAATACACACATAGAAAACCTACACAAACCACCAACACTGGCCATAAAACTGCAGAGAACAATGAGATGGTGCTTTTGCTGGACATAGAAGGTTTAATTTGTGTGGATATGTTATCTGAGATCCCCTTACCTTGATGCCTACAACAATGCCCCTGTCCTTGATCATCTTGACGAAGGGCGTGCCATCATCTGCGTTCTGGTACAGTGTCTCATGGAAGAAGATGACTCCACCGATGCACTTGTCGATGCGTTCGTCAGCGGAGAAGAGAAGCTGGCGGTACAGACGGCGGTTCTCCTCAGTGTTCTCAACGCCAATGGGGTTCAGGCGCTTGGCCATGCTGCCTGTTCATACAATATCATGTTATGAAGCCAAAGATTCATAAAAAGGTGCAGAAACTGTTTAAATCTAAGTAAATGTGAAGGGAGATAAAGCCATGTGTTCATCCTATAGCTTTCCTCTCTATCCTAAAAGTGTACAGTGATCCACTATTCATCCTACTACGTATTCATTTATATAGGAAAAGCCCCATCACATATCATAGTCATACACTATATATTGTTCACTGAAGCTAATAAGGACTTTCCATAATGAATGGAGATGAAATTTGACATTAATGCACTGTATCACTTCCTAATGAACTGTAACTGAACTGTGAAGTCAGAGATTTACACCCATAACACTTCTGTGTCCCAAAATGGCTAAATATTCATATACTCATTCTAACCTGTGGACTCATCAGCAGCGAGGATGCCTTTGCCGGGGGCGACGATGCGCTGGGCGATCTCCTGCAGCTCCTTTTTCTGCTCAGGAGTCAGGGCGGGGTACTGGTGCGTCATGATGCCTGCTGCTCAAAAAACAACCCAAATGAAAGAGGAGAGGCTATGGTTACACTCCCATAACTACAAAATTCATTTATTTCCATCAAACCTGAAAGAAGGGCACTCCAAGAGGCTGTCTGGCAGCTACATGGCTTTTGAGGAACCTAAACTGCAGTTCTTGGATTTCACCATCGTTGTATGGCCCTGCATGGCTATGTAGTATATACAGGACAAGAGGTGAACCAGGCCAAATTTTTGCACTGGAAATCCACACAGCATAAATAACCGAGGCCTAAAAATTCAGACTAAGCCACTTAAGAAATTACCATCCCCAGCACTCAGCTGCTGACTAGAGCTATCCAAAATGTGTCAGGGTATCAATAAAACTATGGTTAAAATTCCTCCAATGGTTCTGCATAGCCGACAACAAAAGCTGGATTACGTAACCACAGCTGAAGTGTGGCTAGAGGGCCATTTTCAGCTCGCTGCCCTAATACTGGTCACCAGGGAGATGAACTGACAGAGACAGCAAGATTATGTAATTATGCTTGTCTAAACTTTGCTGTCAGTGCTCATTACCTCTGCTCTCTGGTCAGTGTGCTGAGGACAGTGTCCAGCTCTAGTTTTCTAAATATATTCCCACTATGCACTTCAACTGTACATACTGTATACATGTCCTTTACTTAAGAACCACACAAAGGCAAATTTACACCCATTGTAAATCTTATGTCATTTGTACCAAGTTAAATCCCTTATACATCTTACATTTACCAGATTGAAGGTTCTAAGAAACTAGGTACTCTGTTGCAAAGCTCTGCTGAAGTCTTTCTTTATCAGCCTCATTCTAAAAACCTGCACTTTTCTAGTATCCAAATTTTAAACTGTCTAAGGTATTTAGTCCATGTCCTGCTCTTTGGATGGAAATCCAACAACAAATCTCCTTTTCTTTGCATGCAGACTACCCTCACTTTTACGCTGTCGACTGCTTCCCTCCCTCCCCCACAACCACTAGAACAAGACAAAACCGGTACAGACTGGCTAGCGTGTTGTGTGAGTAACACCAGGCTGCCATGGTCAGCACAGAAAAAAAAATAAAATAAAATGTCAACATAATTAACCAGCATTGTAAACCAACACCTCACTACAGTTGCTCCAGTACAACACAATGGCAAAACAGCTCGTATATGAACAAACAGATCCAACCCTCTTCCCCTCCTCAATACTCCACTATATATCTGCAGTCTCTGTTGTTTTATAGGCCACTGTTTTTCCCCCCAGCTGGGCCAGTAGGGGGCATCTTATATTCCCATCAGCATTAAGAGCATGCTTAGCTCATGTGCAGTACAGGCTTTGTCAGAGGCTACACCTCATTGGCTCAGCTCACCAATGGAAGTTTCCACTGAAAAACAAGCCCGGAGCCTAGGCAACCTACCACCTCATTTATCACCACCATACACTAGGGATGTAAAGGAGCACATCTAGGCCACCTCTGTTCCAACTGTTTTGTAGCACTGAGGTCAACAGCTTTGTAAGGGGCCCATAACATACATTTTTCTTGTATTTTAATTCTTTCCCTTTGGCTTCCCAACTTTAAAGCTGTTAGTCTCAATGCTACCGATCCACTAGTGGTAACATCCTGCTAAAGCCTTTCATCCTAGAAAAAAAAATATTCTGCTTTTTTTTAACCATTTCTATTTTACAACTCTACATTTCAGGACCACGGTCAGTTACTTCACTCAAACGTCTCTTTTTGCAAACTTCACAAGTGGTTTCAAAGTCTTCTTATTTTGTTATTAAGCAGATTAGATTAGATAATTTAGTCTGATTTGTGTCTGTATTTGTAGTGAATTTAGGCAGGGCTTATGTTTCTACTGACTCTTCAAAAGTGATCTGTGTTAGAAATTCTGATTGAAAAAATCTTGGGGAAATGCAGTACAGCAGGGGACTGACCACAAATATGACCAACATATACGTTGACAGTGTTGAGTATTTGCATACTTCTCACCAAATGAATGAGGATACTTGTGCAACATGCAGTTAGAAACAATGGGGAAATTTCATGCAGATCTGGGTGTCCCAATAACCTCAAAGCACAATCATCATGACACTGCACACAGTATCACTATGAATAATCCCTCTACCACATCATGATCATAGTTATGTTATGAACCTTGGAAAATTCCACCCTTATTTGAATTTCACAAGAGATTTAAAGCTGCTCTACAGTGTTAAATACAATTTCAACACTTTACAGATTAAAAAAAAAAGATGGAAAAATGAAATTAAAATACAAGCATTGCAATAAGATGCAAATATTATAAATAGTATATTTCAATTCTACAAGTGTAACAGTATCAAATTATGAGCTAAGTAGGACAAACACTCAGAACTCATCAGGATTATATTAAAGAAAGATTACAGTTCAACAAAACATTGTTATTATTATTATTATTATTAATTATTATTGTTTTTTTTTATCCTATGTTTAAAGCAGCAACTCTGATGACTGGAGACCAAGTATGTTAGGATCTGTAGCCTGAAAGAGAAAAACTAGTCCTGGCATGCTCACAATCGAGCCAGAGACTGGCAGTGTATCAGGGTGATTCACACTGTGTGTTCAGGTTAATCCAAGGCTTAGAGCTTTGAGATCAATGCGCCTCACTCACGTTCCTCTATAGCTTCATGCACGTATGGCCTATAGGCTATACAAGCAATCAGGGGGCCTACAGTAGATATAGACAAAATTACATGCAAGGAAATATTATGGTTGCAAAAAAAGGCTGTTTATTTAAAGGTGCAGACTTAGCATCATTAAGAATTCATGACCAGCATCCAGTGTCATTATTACATTACGGAAGGCCTAGTAGTTACACGTCAAGCTTTCCAGCCCCAAATCTAACTTAAAAGGACTGGCTTAGTAAACGGAAACAATGAAAAGGGTTCTACAACAGCAAAGCACACTTTGATGAGTCATGATGAGATGTAGTTATGCTTTAAGCGCTCCAGCCATTCTAATTTAAATAATCAAAGGAAAAAAATAATAAAAATTGGATTAGAGAAATAAATGAGATGTGTTTAGGTAAAACACTTAAAAGTATTTATTAGACTGGATGCTGCAATTTACACTGCAGTTCCCAGTTAGCCTGTTTTTTGCTTGGTCACGTGGCTCACAGATGTTACGGCCAAGGAGGATGATTGTCCAGCGCCATGATGCTGGAGCCTGAGCTAAAAATAGCAAGATGCGGATACCTGCTGACTGCAGGCTTGCGAGACAACCCCTTGAGCACGTAGGCCCCTGAGAAGGACATCAGGAGGTCAACTACCATCCCATGACATGTGCTTAAATGCAGATGATTTCCATAAAAACGTAATATGCTGAGAAGACCATTGCTGCATGTGTGGATTCTTGAGATATTTCAATGAGATTAGACATGTTGTAAATGAACAAAGCCTAGTGTTAATTATTTTTAAAAATGTCCTACAAATTGGATACGGTTTCTTGCAGCTAGAATGCGGCAGCTCAGACTGCTGCAGCACGTTCAAGGAGAACATGATGCTTTAAAGACCACAGAAGGCTCTACAAGGATCTAGAGCTCTAAGGATGCACACTGATATCAGGTTCATATCAGTATTGGCAGGAAAAAATAAATAAATAAATCAGCACTGGACAGCTATTTACATTTGACAAATACATTAACCTAGTATTTCAGGACATATTAGGTGATGCTGGACTACTATGCTAATATTCCTTCTTTTCGTTTTATTCAGTGTACTGCATAAGCAAACCAACAGAAATAGATGTTATATTTCTCTGTAATGCTAATGCGGATGGATCTAGGCCCAAATTCTACATTTTATAAACATTTATGTATCTGCATCGACGGATACGCGCATGATAAAATATCAAAAGACCCAGAATTCCCACACTGGGGCATCCCTGAACATTATATTCATAGTTATACTATAATAGAATCTCAAACCTAGTCACTAGCTGTTTAGTACTTTGTTCTCTGCACAGACATCTTCATGTGGGCAAGCCCTCTAAGAGACTCTAAAGTGGGAGCCCAGTATAATGACTCCGTCTGCATCCTGTCTTCAACAACGTCTGCTGATCTGCACTGCGTCATGCCAGCAGCCAGCCACCTCCCACTCATGTACCTGTCGCGTCCATCAGAGCAAGGCCACCACGGCTGGGGCGTGCCAGAAAAGGATCTGACAGGAAGCAGGCTACTACACACTGAGCATTTGCAGTCAGAGGGCTGAGGATTAGACACCACTGATGTGGTAATGTTTCAAGGGACAACAGACTGTCATCCAGGTGGTTTCTGGGAGATAAGAGATCGGACAGGTCAGTACTGAATGACATTGAGAATATGGCCGAAAAGAACATGACAGTCCTCTGAGAAAAGACCAGAGGAAACTCAGTCGTCGAGACTGGATCAGAGGCTTATTGCCTTTAACCCACAGCAACATGAACAGTACCAGCAACGTCATCCGCACCCAGACCAATAGGAGAGCGCCTTCAGCACGTAAACATTGCATGTCGTCATCAAACGCGGGTAGCGTTCGCAACCGAGATGCGTTACAGGGGCGCAGAGGCCGTTAATGATCTGGCCAAAGGCGGCGGCGTTCCTAGGACGCGCTGCTGATGTTGCCCTTGTACGTCCTTCCTCAGTTCATAGCAGAGAGAAAAGCAGAGCTTCTCCATCGTGTAGATCAGAATTATTTATTTATTTATTTATTTATTTATTTATTTGGCGTTTCATGTATTAACTGATGTGTTCGTGGACTAATATGCCCTTATGTTTAGGTTATTCTGTTTTTCAAAGGTATTTTTTTGCCATACATTCCAGGTTCTTCTGGTTCTCATCGTATAATTTTGATATTAAACGTTTCACCAAATAATGTGGGCTGTATGCGGATAATCCTCTTAACGTAACCTACACAGTGGCTGTACATTCGTGGATGTATGTCTCAAGGCCTGTCCCTATTTTATTTCCCGTTTTATAACCCAAGAAAAAGGCGTGAGGCGATGAGTCAACCCGACTAGCAGCAGCTTTTTCCGGTGAAGCTAAGCTAACCAGCTCTGCGGCTGAGGTGCCTACGTGCAGACGGCCACACAGTCCTGAATGAGCATCAACCTCCGCATCCACGATGTAGACACTAACCGCAGACGAAGAACCTCGCATCTCCGTTAGGAGTGAGGATATAAAACGTGTCTGAACCGTTTTCAACGCTACGTCTTTATCTTTCCTGTCCTCTAGCCCACAATGCGGAAGAGGAGGAGGAGAATGTCCTAACTCGTGTTCAAGGTTGTCAGTGATGAGGACGGCGACATTTTCATGATGCTGCTCCACTTTCCGCTGCCTGAGGGTCTGCTAAACTACCGTCCAGCACACCTCATTTCTGCACGAACTCGAAGCTTTAGTCTGTTTCCTATTCGCCGAGTTTTTGTTCGAGTTTTCCCGTTCCATCTTAAATGGTGCAGCAGCCGGAGGCCAGACTGTAACTGCTGCACCGTTTAAGGTGGAACGGGAAAATACGAACAAAAACCTGGCGAATAGAAAACCCTAGCCTCGTTTTACGAACTCAATTTATATAATGTAGTTACAAGCTCCGTTCTTCAACATAAATGACCTTCTTGGTTGCCGTATGATAGCTAGGTTAGTGAGGGTTTTAAGATGTCAGGCTAAACCACCTGTCGAATAATTCGGTTATATTACCGCAAAACGTGCCTCCTGTAACGTTAGGCCCAAATCTACTTTTCTCAGTATAATATGACAACGTGTAACATTTCCATTCAAACTATAAGACTTAAAATGCGCAAATACTGTTAGCTAATCAACCAATGTAATATACAGTTGTATTTACAGTGTGTAATTGTATTAACTTACCTAGTTGAAGTACGGAAGCTAGAGATTGTGGATGGAGAAGATGCGCAGCTGCTGCTAGTCTGCCGTTCTGGTACCGCAGAGCAACGTGACCGCTTACAAAATCACGAGCCGTTCGTTAATATTCATGAGGGTGATGAATATTCATGATACGTCCTCCTGACGTCTCTACGTCACCAACTTGTTCCTGAAACATGTCGCTTAGCACGTAGGCTGGTGGGGTGGCGTTCCTCATCATAAGATGCTGAAATGGTTCAGATCTGCACAAAACTTTAAAATGTGGATAGTCATTTATTTACTTTTTAACTGAATGAAAGAATAACGATATTAATTATGATGATTACTGAGCTTGTTTTTCATACTGGTGACTGAAAGAGTATCTGTAGGCCTCCTCAGACTTACAGAAACATCCTGTTTATATAATTACTGTTTTACAAGCACAAACTCAAAAAGTGCTTATATTTGCTTTGTATTTGTACATTATATTGAGTATAGCCAGCATGTTTGTGGTACAGAGACACGCCATTGAAGGAGACAGAGAGAAAAACAGAGAATGCTGAGTCATGAAGGAGTCATCAAGTAAAAAGTCAAGTTAAATAATTTGGTACAATCTTTTTTTTATTAAATCACCTGTATTTGAATACCAAGCAACAAGTCACACATTAATTATAGTTGTTCAGTCGCTTTTAACTGTGATAAAAGTACTCAAATGGACACAAAGCACATGAAACAACTTATCATCATCTTGACATCATCTTTCCCTATATTCTGAATAAAGTACATTTTATGATTTACAATACAAGAAAGGATGAAAGGTGTGAGGCATTCAGGGCAAACAGTAAGGACTGTCATCTCAGACAAAATGCAGACATTAAGGGAGAATTGTGCATAGATGCAAAGAGGCTCAGTTATCTGAAACAGCAAATCATTATAAACATACTCAAATAGTAAATGATTTTGTATTTGGGGTAGTGGTAACCCACTGGTCAGGAAAGTTTCTTTAAAAAAAATATATGGGCTTGATACCATCCTGATAACATCATGATACTCCATTAAGACCTTGAGCAAGGTGATTCGACCCCAACAGGCCGCGCCTGCAATAGGCAATGGAAGTTGCCTTGAATAAAAGCATCAGCTAAATGTACACCATTTAATATACGTTTGTTACATTACACTTTCTGTGCTCAATGTTTGACTCCTCCACATTTTACTAAAATAAAAAGATGCCTCTCATGCCACAACATACATTTGTAAACACATGTTAAAAGACAAAAGTGCATTAGGCAGAAGATCTGTGACAACACACAGTTTCAAATAGAATATCATGCAAAGGTGGAGGTATCCACTGGTGGCGCATTAGAATATTGAGGTTTGTAGTTTAGGATAATCACGTTAAGGATAACTCTTAAATGTGCTATTTACAACAGCCCTGAGAATTGTGAAAAACCTGTGGCTGGGGAATTTAGGAGCTCTTATGGCATAAAATAAACATCCAATCTGGCTTTTTGCTCAAAACAGAACAACAAAGGGACAAGAGCACTCTGCAAAAATTCTATGGTAAAGAACATACCACACGAAGGAACAGATGTACTTGTCTTAACAGGACGCATTCTCCTCCAAACTGCCATACAAGCCTAAAAGCACATTTTATGCACCATGATTGGAAAATTTGCGCATCTAGCAACAGCCAGTTTGTATGGAACTTTCTCAGCCTCTTAAAAACAGGTGTAGATTAGTGGTAGCATCTCAAAGACGTGTTGTTGGTAGACTTTCTTTAACAATGGCAGCAGTCATATTGACTAGACAGAGACACAGGCATAGAACAAGTGCTGAATGAATATTTGCCAACACGATAAAACTGTATCAACTCTCTGGGCTGAATATTCATACACCAGAAAATGTCTTCATGCAGCTTCAACATGTGCTGAAAAAAGTAATGCACTGAATTAAAAATGTTCAAATTTCCACATGAACAAAACATATTGCATCACCACAATTTTGTCTTTCAGTTTACATACTTTTGAGAATAACTGTATGCGTACCTTCTCAAGGATGTACGCTTATGTTACGTGGAAATACAAACAGACACATTTGAGTCAAATAAATTCAGTGCTTCACATTTTCAGTAACACCCGCAATCCATGTTACTGTTTCCCAAATTCTAGTGGGATTAGAATTACATCCTTACAGAATGTTTTGGTAGAACTTCACTTATTAACACTTCTATCATAGGTTATATAATAAGCTACAGCCTTAGTAAATCAAACATTAGTTTCATGTACATTGTGAGCTGCATCAAGGCACATTTAGTGCTACGGTTTCTCATGAACATAAATGTGACCCAGAGTATCTTGCGCAGTTCAAAGTTCAAAAACGACACCCTTTAAAATTCAACCCCAAAATTAGGTAGCAGGCCTGAGTATCTGTAAAAGCAAGACATGCAGTTTGATACATGAAATGTAAACAATTGTCCATGTGTCTCTCTGCAGACAGTTCTATTCAGTCAGCTTACTGCTACACAAACACTTCCTGCTGTGGAACACTGCCCTGAGATACATGGCCTTGGATGAGGGCCTCCACTAGTTCTATGTTAGCAAGAGTAGGGGACATCTCCTGGGCTGGACTGGAGGTTGAATCTACGAGGAAGTCGCAGTCAAAGTTGGAGAAGGGCTCCAGGGTGAGACCTCGGCGGGCTTTGGCAGGGCGGTCAGGCCGCTTTTTCAGCTCCAGGATGAGCTCCATGGGTGTCTTCTGCAGCAGCTGCGAGTCGAAGGGTGTGCCGCGGAAAAAGGTCTGTCGCTTGAAGCGCTCCAGCGTTCGCAGACGACGGGTTGGGGTCTTGCACAGAAGCTGGGGAGGGTGTCAAAGAAGATAAATATGACTTCATATTTTGTCCAAAATAAAATTCTCAGAAACAGTTTAAGGACTTTCTTAGAGACTCTACAGCAAGTTCATATAACTCGTCTTCTATGAACTTAAGTATTGTGTGGACGGCTGAACCTCCAGGAAAGAGTTCGTGCCTCACCTCAGTGAGCAAAAGAGCAAATGGAGGAGAGAAACTTCTGGGCATCTCATAGGGAAAGCAGCGCACCTTCCTCAGCATACTGCAATGATCCAGCTCAGGAGGCACAGGGAACTGAGACAGGAAAAGACAATGCAGTGAGATATTTCATCTCTAAGGTCAAGGATCACAAGTACACACTTTTGAAATTAGCTAATAAGGTCTAATACTACTTGGTATGAGACTGTCTAACACTTGAAACAGATGCAAAAAAGTGGCTATTTTTGTCGTTTGAACTACTCATCTGCTGTAATCACGTTATTTCTCAACAATGTTGTTGGGTTTATCTGAAATGTAAAGAAGCTGATCTAACAAAACAAACTTTGTAGATTTTTATTTTGTTTTTGTCACAAATGATCGTTTTAAAACAAGAAAATGCATGAACATGAATACTCTTCAAACATCAGTCACACTTTATCGTTACCTTGATAAAACAAATCAATAATAGGAAGTGTTTACTAATCCAAACTGTGTTACTGGCATCTGGGCATCAAACAATATAGGAATCCTTTGTCCATTTTTATAGATAACAGTATATTACACTGTGTCAGAAACCACAAAAGAAAGTCTACTTAAGATTATTTAACAACCTAACAATGTAAGAGGCAAAAATGTGATGATTCGGGCATGCAGTTTGCATGATGCTAAGTGGTGGGGTATACTTATTAGCTATGTTAGCCTTGTAGCTCCAGCACAAAACTAAAGAAGCTATCTTTATACCACAAACATGTCTTGGCCGACTTACATTGGGCATAAAGGGGAAACTGTGTACATTAGACATTTGTGGCTGAACCATTGCTTTAAACTCATAGTCTAGATTGAAATATATTGTTCCAGAAGAAATGAGAAATATGCAGAAATATAAAATATGAAAGCTCAGATATTCTCTTGTACTCAAGCATCACTGGTTATAAATAACAACGACTGCACAATGATGCAGTCACATGGCAGTGACATGCTTTATGACCTCACCTTGCCAGTGGCCAATGCAAAGAGCAGTATGCCGAGAGACCACCAATCAGCAGCATGACCGTATGGGCCCCCGCTGAGCACTTCAGGAGCTATAAGGGAACAGGATGCTCTTGCAAGACTATAGAAAACACCCTGGATTTTAACTTAACTGTGCAGTTTACTACATACCCGTCACGACTTCATTATAATGTCTATGAGCAGACCTATGTGTGTTCATTAAAATGATTCACAATGATACAATAAGCATACATACTGCACATACATTCATGCTTACATTCCTGCATGTATGAATGGTTGTTTTGTCTGTATTTCATCCGTCTCTCCTAATATAATTACCCATGTACTGAATAGTGCCACAGATGGTGAATGCCCTCCCTCCTCGCTCGAGCCGTCGCGACAGACCAAAATCAGCCAGCCGTAAGTGACCTGCAACACATCCACATACAGACATTAAATCATTACAATAGTCTGGCCCATTAACAGACAATTAGTGTGGTATTATGTCCACTGTGCTAGCCTGTGCTACTGTGTGATTTGACTAGCACTCATAAAGGGACGTCAAGGTCATTTCATAATTTTCTTGAAATTAATATTTTCTTGATGCTCTTAAAAAGATTTACACCTATTGTGTATAATTTCATATAAAAATACAAAAAGAATAAAAATCTTTAATAAAGATGGTTTTGATATTTTTTCATATTTTGAAAACAGCATCTTTTTAAAAACCATCTTTATTTCCAGGACTATTTAAACTGCCATCACTACATATTAGAACATGGATATCTGTCTTGTAAACAGTCTGGATTCTGGAATGTTCTATGCTGGCAGAAAGGAAAGGCTAGTCTGTATCACCCTCTAGTGGATGCAGCGCAAGTTACAGCCTGCTCTTACCTTGATCTGTTAAGAGGATATTCTCCATCTAGGACAGAAATGAAAAATGAAAAACGTCTTGATTTGCAGACATCTGACTGCATGTCGCTTCATCTGACCACCCATTTATCAACATGGTAAAACACATAGTAAAGTATTTACCTTTACATCACGGTGGATGATCCCAAAATCATGAAGAAACCCTGCAATTTGGAGAATTTTAGATTTTTGCCTACAGCATTTCACTGTAACTCAAGTAAAACAAAATATTATATGACATTATATATTATATATTGTACATATGTTTACAGATACTGTGGATATCCAATTATTCAAATACTAATATTATTCTAAAACATTTTACACTGTGTAGCTTTTGAGATATCAGAAATGCCTACAATTAGTTGTCCCTCGGTTAAGATTCCCTTCAGGAACTGACTGCATAGTAACATTGACTGCATAGTAACACAGACTGCATAGTAACACAGACTGCATAGTAAGTCGCATTATGTAACACAAAATCACTTTTTATTTTGATTTGTCTGATGCTTGTATGAAAATATGAAATGAAAAAGATCTCAATGGTGGTTGATCCACCAAAACATATTTGTTCTTCTTCTCTTCTCTGGAGAAGCTCTTGTATATGGTTCTTTAAAGAACCATTTAAAAATGGTTCTACATAGCATCAAAAATGTTTTCACATTTTTACGAGTCAAAGTAACGAATGCTTTTTTGGTATTATATAGAACCCTTTTTGCTGAGAGAGTGCATTAGAATCTCCGCCCAAAAATGAGTGTCTTGGCATGGTTTGAGGCAAATATGTGATGATTTATTTATGCAGTTTAAAGCAATAACCAAACAAGTCTTAGCTTATTCCCTACATTTGGGATCAACTATGTACATTTGATTTTTAGCCACTAGCAGATGTTCAGTATGTTTATCTTTGCAACCAGTCCACCTACCACCACTTACACTGAGGTATTTAAAGTGAGTTTACATTCAGGACTCACCCAAAGCAGAGCCGAGCTCCGCGGCAAATACCTTCACTGCACCTTCCCCAAACTGACCGATCATCACCCAGTAGGTGTATAAATCTCCTGTACTGCAGTAGTCACACACTAGAAAGGGAATAAGCAGAGTGTTAGGAAAACATGCAGTCAAACAAACCCACAGCGACACAACAGAAAGTCAAGTGGACAAGCAGAGACAAAATACAGACAGAAAAACAGACACAGATATACACACAGACAAATACTAGGGCTGGCCCTGAATAGTTCAAATACTCGAGTACTCATTTATTACGGTGGTATTTAATTCTTCATTCAGGATTTGAAAGCTTTGTCTTTTTTAAGCCACAACAGTTGTAGCCTAAATACATTTAATCTGCAGCAGCCTTCAGATAGAACAGTGTTTGTTAATGTATGAGAAATGTTGACAATACATACGTTATAGCTGGTTTAGTTTCGAATACATCATAAATGAATTCCAGGCATCTACATCACCTCACCTCAGAGCGCAACAAACTGCACATCTCAGCCTTCAAAGCTAATAGAGCAGAGGCTGTGCGTGTGAGAGCACCTTCAATCATCTGACAATAAGAAAAATACTCAACACACAATGTGTGATTAAAAGCTAGTATACTGTGAAGGCATGACATCTTTGATGAATCATCTTACAGTGCGGTGAAAAAGTATTTGCCCCCTTCCCAATTTCTTCTATTTTTGTGTATTTGTCACACTTGAATGTTTCGGATCATCAAACTACTTTTGATATTAGACAAAGATAAAGTAAACACAAAATGCAGTTTTTAAATGATGATTTCATTTGTTGAAAATGAAAATGGAAAAATGCTGTTCAGCCATACCTGGCTCTATGTGGAACAGTAATTAGCCGCTAAATCTAAAAAAGGCCCTTAGCTACTAAATCAACTAGTTAACCAAATTCAATTGACTACTGGGTTCAACTTCAATTTGAATCTAAAAATCCCTTAAATACAATGTGTCTGGCAATATGAATCAGGCTATAAGGTCTCAAAATGCAGCACATAATGCCACGTTTTAAAGAGATTTTAAAGAGATTTCAAAGTCATTGAAGTCTCCCAGACTGGAAAAGGTTACAAAGCCATTGCTAAAGCTCTTGGATTCCAGTGAACCACAGCAAGAGCCATTATCCACAAATGGAGAAAACTTGGAACAATGGAGAACCTCCCCATGAGTGGCCAGCCTACCAAAATCTTACCCAGAGTGCATCGACCACTCATCTAGGAGGTCAGACTAACATCTGAACTACAGGCCTCACTTGCCTCAGTTAAGAACATAGTGTACATGATTCCACAATAATTAAGACACTGGGCAAAAATGGCATCCATGGGGAATGGAGGCGCAAATCACTGCTGACCGAAAGGAACACAAAGCCTCGTCTTGCATTTGCCAAAAAACATCTAGATGACCCCCAAGACTTTTGGAATAATGTTCTGTGGACTGATGAGTCAAAGGTGGAACTTTTTGGAAGACATTGGTCCTGTTACATCTGGCGTAAAGCTAACACAGCATTCTACCATAAGAACACATGACAGTTAAACATTGTGGTGGTAGTGTGATGGTCTAGGGCTGCTTTGCTTCAACAGTATCTGGATGACTTGTCATACTTGATGGAACCATGAATTTTGCTCTCTATCAGTAAATCTTGAAAGAGAATGTCCGCCTGTCACTTTGTGACCTAAAGCTTAAGTGCAGTTGGTTTATGCAGCAGGACAATGATCCGAAGCACACAAACAAATCCACCTCTAAATGACTCAAAAGAAACAAAATTAAGGTTGTGGAGTGGCCGGTGTCAAAGTCCTGACTTGAATCCCATTAAGATGTTGTGGCAAGAACTTAAACAGGCAGCTCATGCTCTAAAACCCTCCAATGTAGCTGAATTAAAACAATTCTGCAAAGAATTCCTGCACAGTGATTTCACGTTTGATTTCAGTTGTTACTGCCAACGGTGGCACAACCAGTTATTAGGCTTAGGCGGCAATTACTTTTTCACATGGGTGATATAGGTTTTGAATACATCTTTATCTTCAATAAATGGAATGATCATTTAAACGCTGCATTTTGTGTTTACTCGTGTTGTCTTTATCTCATGTTAAACTGATTTGACTGGATCTCTATAGAGTAAACCCTTCACTTGTGTGCAAGTGACAAAGTGTGACGGATCAGAAAGAGTCATGTTTTGATGAATCTAAGACATGTCTAGCGGAGCCAATGTGAACTGAAACACTGATTAAACTGGGTGGTTTTGAGTAGTACCAAGTACTCAATGACTCATTCTGAGTATACAAGCAGTATTTAAAGCCTGTAAAATGCTATTCTGGCCAGCCCTAACAAATACACAACCATATTCTAACTCAATCATCTACACAAACACATACATGCACAGAGGTCATGGCTGTTATGCTGGCAGAGCGCCAGACTCAAACCAACACATCTGTCCACAACATCTGTCTCAATCACAGATAAACACACACGATATGTATAGACCCACATACACACAAAAAAATCTGATTGAGGGAAAAAAAACAAAGTTAAATCTATGTTCCAGATAAACCCAGAACATCCTGTGTGATTAACTGAATCTAAAGGCACGCTGCCATGCAGCCGTATCAGCAGCTGACCCACAATAAATAAACACAGTCCTCTTCACACAGGTAGAGGTCATCTATTAGGGCTGTCCCCTCTAAGTCAACTAGTCAACTAAATCAGCCATTCCGACTAAATGCAATTTTTTATATCTTTCTGTAATTTTTTATGTTTACATTTACATTTAGATATTTTAGCAAATGGAAGTTTGGACCATGTTGCTAGCAAATCTCCATATACATTTACATTTCTGCATCATTTAGGAGTTAAAATGAAAACAAAGTCATTCAGAGTGGTTTGATGTAATATTCCCCAGTCTAGAGAAACTCACTGAGTCATTGTTCACAGTGGTGGTGATAGGAACCAAACATCTGAAGGGTTTAATACACAGAAAGTTATTATATGAAATGGTTATGGTTATAAAACGCTGCCTGAAGAATGACACAGTGTTTTACAATACATTCATATATGATTTTGGTTTAAAGCCCCCAAAGATTTCCAGATCTACCGCTATTTTGCTATTATCAACATTACAAAAACTCTGAAGACACTGGTGGTTTTGGATAGTGAATAAAATGGCTATATTTGAGTTTTAGACATCGGTGTGTTTCTTTGCAATGCACCTTTTTACATTAAACAACTCTGAATGTTTACATCGCCAAGATTTCATTATGTAGGAATTACCCTTTTACTGAATGTGTTACGAAGCCATGCTTCAAAAGTTGTTAAAATCGTTCTCAATAACATCCAGAGGTGAAACAAAAGCTTTCATTTAAGGAGCAACTAGTTTTAAGTTCTATAATACAAGGTCTTCCAATATGCTGTTTACTTAAACCTTTCTTTTCTTGGGGATGCTTAGTCGGGGACAGCCCTATTATCTACACAGCTGGGTGAAAATCAGAAGTCAAGGAGTCAACAAAAGTGCAACAGTCACAGCTTGGTCTCAACACTGTACCAGGGGAACAAATACCACAGTTGAAGGAAGAAAGAAAAACACACTCTGCTAATTCAGTGAAGGGAAAGAAGGACTGAGGTTTGAACAGGGATGTGATGTTGGTAGTGTTGTGTGGTACAGAGCAGGACTGGGGTCATATTAAACAGTGGCATTCCTTGCATTCTGCAGTTCTGACTTCTGGAGCTGCTTCAGGACAGGCGATATTATGATATGCTATCAATGATAATTTACATATCACTGTGTCTTTCTCTCATGGTTTGGTACTTTTAGAACAGTCTGCATACATTTTCTTCTGGTCTGGACACCTTGAAACCCACAACACTCTCGTCTACTCCCTGTAATAAATGCAGCTGATAGCATGTTACCTGGCTAGCAGTCGAGAGGCCTACAAAATAGAGATGAGCAACACAATATGTTGCAGCCCAACATTAACCAGCCCAATGTGGGTGAGAGCAGGACAACACATGCATGTAAGGGAATCCCACAGATGAAGAAATGATTACAATCAATAATAACTACAAAGGTGAATACATGAGAATAAACACTACTAAAGGCAAGTCTGACCTATGGCAGTCGTTTTCAGTCGTGAACACAGATGTAACTCAGAAACATCTTAACTCTGAAATCTTATCTGTTTAGTTACTAGGACAACTTCAGTTAGCACTGAATTTAGGTCAATAGCTATTACAGAACAACACTTTTTAAGTTCATAATCTTATTCTAACTCCAGATAAGAGAACAGTATTACATTAACATCTTAACTAGACAAAATTTCCTAAATTCTGTCTTAACTTTAAGAAAACCCCAGAGCTGACCTAACGTCTGTTTTAACTGCCAGTTTCTATAGTTTTGATAGCACTGTTAAAGCGTTCGTGACTTTAGTTTTGTTTTGACCTTTTTGACATCAGTGACAGCAGCTGTAACTTACATTTTTGACGTGTTTACTTTTCAGCTGCGTGCATATGGTCGGTTGCTAGATAACAGACATGACAGTTGATTGTCGACTTTGACAGTCCCAGCTATATAGGTCTGCAGGTGGGAGCAGGCAAGAAAAAAAATAATTATCCCACGCAAATACAAAACTTATTTGGACTGCATCTTGAGTTAAGGCAGATTGTTACCTCACATCAACAATAAACTCTCGCAGGCCATGCCTATTTCCACCACTGAGTCTGCTGTGCAGTAGGTGTGCATTCTGACTAGTTTTGAAAAGAGTTACTAAGAGTAGCTAAGAGTTACTGAATAGACATCCTATTAACCACAGGTAAGGAAGAAAAGAACTTCAAGCAAAACGGACGTATAGGGGTAGGCTTACACATTTAGCCAATGGGTCTGGTTTAAGAGGCAAAAAAAAATCAGCAGCAGGCAGAGGAAACAGGTTTGAAAACGTTGTTTTATTCAAAACAGGCAAAGGAAAATTGGTAGTTTTCATGTTGCCTCTTCAGCTAAAACTCCAGCTAAGTGGTACACGGGATGGTGATGAGAACTCATCTTCTGAACAAGATATTTTCACCAAAGTGGACAATGCCCCACATGATTGTTTGTCAGAGAAATATATTTTCACTGTTTCTGGACCCAGTGCTGTCGCCTCACAGCAACAAGGGCCTGGGTTCGATTCCCAGCCGGGCGACCAGAGTCCTTTCTGTGTGGAGTTTGCATGTTCTCCCCGTGTCGGCGTGGGTTTCCTCTGGGTACTCCGGTTTCCTCCCACAGTCTAAAGACATGCAGTCAGGCCAATTGGAAATGCTGAATTGCCCCTAGGTGTGAGTGTGTGTGTGATTGAATATGTCTGTCTGTCTGCCCTGCAATGGACTGGCGACCTGTCCAGGGTGTATCCTGCCTTCTGCCCAATGACAGCTGGGATAGGCTCCAGCACCCCACCGCGACCCAGAAGGATAGGCGGTTTAGATGATGTATGTATGTATGTATGTTTCTGGACCCAACATCAGCTAGAGCCTAGTCTAGTAAGAAATACAGCTGTACTACCTGCCTTCTCTACCTTTTCAGTCATGTCTCTAACTACACACACTCTGCATTGGCTCACGTTCAGGCATTTTTCATTGCACAGTGTTTCACTGAATTGTTCTCCATTTTACTGTAATAAAACAGAACGAGTACCCAAATAGTGACTGCCGTATTCGAACACTGACACCTCGAATGGTTAAGGGATTTAACATTTTTGCTATATTGCCAGCCCTTACTTCAACACCAGGATTAGCAGCCACTGCCCTAACTGCACTGTGCCTTTTCCAAATCACTCTGCATGGTCTATGTGGTGGTGCAGTATAGAACTAATCTGTGGCTCTGAGCATGTTCTAATGAGATACCCTTAATTCTCCTGGTAATACAGGTAGAAATAGACACAGTAGGTTTGGCCTGTTTTCTACTCAGACAGCATGTACTCACTCGGAGTACAAAACAGCAAGTCTGGTTCCAGAGAAAATCGCACCATGGACAGTCATGATATACTGATAATCTACTTAAGTGCCTTTTAGCCTCTTGGCAGGTATAGACTGTGCAGCCCTGTTATCTTTTTGGCTTTCCTTCAAGTAAGTGCTAGAAAGTGCCTAGTAAAAAAAAGGTACATCCTGTGCCCTAGTCTAGAGTCCTGAGTCTCTCCAGAAGGCTGATTTGTCAACTTGATGACAAAAAATTAAGTTAACAAGCTTTTTGTTTATTGTCTGTAACTACTGAAGTACAAGCCTAAAGTGGTCAAATTGGCTTTGATTTCTAGCTGTCGATACTTAGTAGCTCCCAACTGATGACACAAACACAAAAAAACATTACTCACTGCTAACTACTCCCCTCTATATGTGACGTGGCATCAAAGTTAAAACTTTTGTTGTTTTAATGTCTCAATAAATGCATTTCTACTTTCTGTAACATTCATTCGCCTCCACCCAACTGATAAAACGCACCAACACACATTCTGATTGTTGTGACATAAACACAACTAACAACTGTGGCGATCAGCTCAAATAACTGCAGTTAGGCGATTATGTAGTAACTGTGACGTGCCTAGTTCTCTGAGCTCATTCTCTTTTCTGAAGTAAAGTGAAAGGTGCTTCATGTGATTGTTTAGAGAAAAATCAAATGTACACAATCTTCCTCACCCCAAAGGTAGTCGATTAGATAAGCTGGCTGTTTGGTGTCATAAGTTTGCTTCTTTAGTTCTGCACTGGAGCTGCGAGGCTTGCTTGCTTATATGGTTTCTTGCTTATATGGTTTCTAAAGAAGCACACGTCAGACACCAAACATGTTTTGAATGATCAACTATATTTCTGCTAAGGGAAAATAATTTTTTTCACCGAAGTATTTCTTTAAAGTAGAACGATTTACAAGGATAAGGGAAGAGCCTGAACACATGAAAGAAGAGGGTTTGTGGTAGCTAGGGAAACAGTGATTAGGTGTGAGGAAAGGTGGACATTCTGGTAGGAAAAGCAGGAGGAAAGCTGGGCCGAGGTGGGGGGTGGGGTCTGAGTCACTCACTAATGTAGAGATGACGCTGGGTCTGCCAGCAGTCCTGCAGATCATGGACGAAAGGGTGGCGGACCTGACGCTGCAAGGCAACAGTCAAACAACAACAACGGCACAGACTAACTGAGTCATTGAACCACTGCAGGTCCACAATTCTGCCTTTTTATGGACAGGGGTCAATATGGGCAAGGATACAAAGATGGAGGTTTACATTCACCCTCCCTATAGTTTTACCTCGTGAACAAGTAAAATCCAGCACTTCCCTGATGCACAGTATAGATCCTACACTTGAACTGTCCTTCAGCTGTTTCAACTCGATCCTTTCACTAAGAACTGGATTCCAAATGCTACTTAAACAACTGTGCCATTTTGAAATTGTGGACTATACAAAAGACATTAGACATTCATGGAGCCAAAAGCACAAGAGAAGGCCAGTACGGATCTGCCTGAACTCACCTGGACTATCACTTCTTCTTTAGACTGGTCCAGCACACCAAGCCGGAGGATCTCAGACTTTGGGATAACCTGAGTAACCAAGAACTTGTAAAGCTTACTGTGATGATCAGACTACAGTTTACCCACAGAAGTGATACAGAGCTGCAGGCTTACATATTTTGTACATATGTTTTATTTTGACATTATGAAATGGTAAGAGTATTGCATTTACCTTAACTGCGTAAGTCTTTTCTTTTGATTTATCTTTCACCTTTAAGATGGGGCCAAAGGATCCTTTGGCTATGTAACCCAGGACCTGGGGGTATAAAACACAGAGCATTTTAGAAGAAGTGTTACAAAGACCACTGTAATACTTTACCATATTGAGACACATAACCAGGGGATTTCCCCAGTTGTCTGGGCCCTGTTTAAATACAGTCACTATGGGCCCCATTCCTAAATTTAAAACCGTACAACTATACAAAGCAAACTTTTTAATCCTCCATTCACGTAATGCTGTGTTTACATTATAGCTAAGCAAGACAATTTTCATTTTACCTCTCATTGATTTCTATTGAGACAGGTGGCAGTTATGCAGGGGGGATTAAACAAAAAAGCACATTTTTCTGGTTGGGAGCGTCACATTGTGTGTCACGTCCATATTCAAACTACACCCTGAAATCAAAGCTGAACAGTTAAACTTGCTTGTATTTTAGTGACACACCCACAAAGCGACCAATAGTCGACAAGGTAAGTGTTCTGCTTCACTGCAATGTAAATGCAGCATAGGAGCTCTGGGTAGTTAGTTCCACTATTCCCCCAGTTGCAAAGCCCCTGCATGCAACCACCAACTCCTTAAACTGCAGGCTTCCTATTCAGTTATTAAATATAAGATTTATTATTAGAGACGTTACAAACACAAAGACAGTTCACTGGCTGAAAACTGAACAGGAAAATTTGTAGCGCTCAACATGGCGTCTGTTTATGGGGAAAGCCCTGCCTTTCAATAAAAGAGCCAATCAGCTTGCTGGTAAAGCCGCAAGTGAGTGTGGTGGAGATATGCAAACAAGCACTAGCCAGAATAAGTTACATGTTTTGTGCATTATTTGAGCCAAATGCTGCATACTATTTATGCAGTTTCTGTCAGATTTTACCATTTATTTCAAATAACCTTTTGTAATGTGAATGTGGCTTTTAGTTTTTCCCCCAGTTAAAGACAAAAGAGTTTGGGCTTGAATGAGTGGAAATAACTGCGTTGCCAAGATGGCCACTGAGCTGACAGACCTCCCTACTTTGTTATTATTCAGTAACTGCAACAAATTATTCAATAACTGCAATGCCAATTATATGTAAGTTATGTAGTTATGAGAATTAACTTTATGTTTGGGTTTCTGAACTTTTTGACTCAGTTATAATATCAAGCGATCCACTGCAAAAGTGGCCTACCTGAAAGTGCTCATGTCCAGGGACGGTGCGGTGGGGGAACTCAGGCAGAAACATTGTGATGAAGCCGGGGAGACTCCACTCCATGCGGAGTTTCTCTGGGCCGGGCATGGAGGACAGCAGGTGCTCTGGAATACGCGCCCCCTTGTCCTGAATCATCCGCCGGGATGCACCAAGTTGGCACAGCGGCGGGGGGAGAGAGATGCCCATACTGGAGAGAAAGCCGCGCCAACCGGATAAATAGCGGCTCTCCTGCTGTAACACACAGGGATCACGAAATTCAGAGTGATTAAACACGAGGCGTGTAACAATTAAGAAAATTAAAATTCAATGGTACACAATATGAGTGGTGTCTCTACTTGATACATTTTTCGGTACTCGACTGAAAATGTGCCTTATGCTGCTTTTCATTCTACAATGTTGTATATCCATTTCTAACAGTTTTGGATATAATGAGTTTTTAATAGAATAATAACTGATGTATAATGCAAGAGATATTTTATTTCTCTAATGAATGTTGTATGAATCATAACAGAGCAGTAATAAGTCTTGAATGTGTAAAGTGTGTTTTAACAACATATAAATAACACAATATTTGAAACAAAAGTTGTGCTTTATAGTGCCTCAGTCTCGTGCCACCATCTAGCCACCAGCTAATATGTGAGCCCCAAGCTAACGTGCTAATCATGATGCAACAATACAATACAATATGATCACTGCCATACAATGCAATTCACTTCTATACTCTGTAATAACACATTAGTATTAAATTCATTAACTAACCAGTGTTTCAATGAGGAGAAATAATTATTCTAGAAAAGTTCACATCAGCCTAAATGAAGGTTCATTGGATGATGACGAGCTGTGTGTGACCTAAAAAGGTCCTTTGGCATTCTTTAGCACCGCTTGCAGCGACACTGCTCGAATTTTTAATAATTAAACCAGTCGGTGTGTCACTGTGACACGTCATATACATATAGGGTGTATTTAGACAGCAAGTCAGATCTGATCCCATCTGTACTTTCCATGTGTGTTTGATATTTTCCGCTCTGTCAAAACAACAAACTGTCATTCACTCCTACTGTAGCAGAATAAGGAATAACATTAAATATATTAATACTTCAATACAGCCATGGCGAAGAGTGAAATTCTTGTATGTAGAAAAACTTGACAGATCCCAAAGCAGAAGCAAAAGAGTGAAGCTTTCTAAGAACAGGATTTTATTTGTTTGTTTGTTTTAATTATTTACTTGTTTATTTGCTGGAGGTGCATTTTAAACTATTCAATGATTCTTTAATAAAGGCAAGGGTTATACAGACTCTTGCCACAAAAGGTTATTTGGGTCATGTCACAAACAAAGCACTTTTGGTTTCCTAAAGAACCATGCATGCAAAAGAAATCTAATAGTGTGAGGAACCTTTTAAAGGTTTAAAGAACCTTCACAAAACGTAAAGGTTCTTTGCCAATTTAAGGGTTCTTCCTGGATTCTTTACATTATGTAGAGCTTCTTTGTACTTTAAAAAGCTTATTCACATTCACACATCTCAGATATAAAAACAAAATAAACTTACAATGAAATGTTTTTAAGAGTGTATAGAACTTACACCTCATAGTACAACTTAAAGAACTCAAAGAACCATCGGAATGCTTGAATGGTTCTTGTCTATAATGGAAAACTTGTGTATATAAAGATTTCTTTTTTAAACAGTTCTGTGCACTCTTCAAAAAGATGGTTCTTCAGGGGCTCTTAAGTAAGGGAATGGTTCTACATAGAACCATTTCATGCTTAAACGATTCTTTGCATGGTCAAATGGTTCTTCAGACTGATTTTGTTGTATAGCAACAAAAAGGGTTTTGCTATTGTTACAATGTCAATCTTATAACAACAGAAGAACCTTTTTTGATGCTATACAGAACCATATGCAACACATTCTCCATCAATCTGAAGAACCATTTCACCAAAGAGCCATTTAAACATAAACTGGTTCTAAACAGAACCATTCTCTTTGCTCAAGAGCCCTTGACGAACCATCTTTTTAAAGAGTGTATAGCACGAAAAAGGCTTTTGTTACTGTTACAAGCCATAGAACTTTTGTTCGGTACTATAAAAAAACATTTAGAACCCATTTTAAACAAACAGCTCATTACTTGTGCAGTATGTGCATTCATTCTGTATTATTACAGCTAACCCTGCTAACCCAGCTTTAAACCTTAGAAAATCTTGAGCCTCTTTAGTTTTTTTTTCCAATATTCTTATAAAATACATGAATAAATAAACAAATGTCTCATGTGAGCCAGCAAAATGTCTGGCAAACTGTTCATTTGATCCCCATAAAAACTTAACAACCACCACACACACGCACACGTCTTTCTACATCACAGATGGACCCCTAAAAGGCTTAATAAAAGCACCTGTCCAAACTCCCCCCCGACTAACTCCCTGTACGCACCTTGCTGCTCTTGCTCCCATCGGCGCCCATCACATCACTTCGCGCGGAAAACTAGGTTCGTCATGTATTTCGTTCGTCCATGTTGTGCGCGGCTATAACATTAGCCCGCAGTTTCCCAGCCTCATAGAATTAGTTAATCTCTCAGACTCTGCTTTTCCATAACCACACGACAATCTGCCCGCAGAGCTGCGTGCAACGAAACCAGAAGAACGAAGTCACATCTAACTCCTCATGAGAATGACAGTGATGGCGACATAAACAAGATAATCTCTGTTAGCCTTGTTTTTTTTTACACCCACCCGCATTCAGACAAGCCCCGCCCTCCTGTGCAAGGATTGGCTGGTAGTTCAGACTCCCGAGTTTGTCCACCTATCGGTAGCTAATCCTATAGCAGTCAACCGCGCTAGAGGCGGGGTTTCCTGGATAGGGGTGGGAAACAAATGAACGGTCTCTGCCGTCGTCGACGTTCTGCCCACATCTGATTGGCTAGACTTGATCGACTGTCCAATGAAATCGCTCGCTTGTCTCCGAGCAACGCCTACGCACTTAAGAGCAGATGCAGCCTTTCGTTCTGAATAATTTACTTCATATTACTTCCATATGCATGTTTTAAAACGACTTGCCAACCGAGACTAAGTGAAAAATACATATGAATAAAACTGCAAAGACAATCGCTGCCGCTTCTACACTTCCTTTTAAAGTGCCCTTGTAAGCTGCTCGCAGTGTATTACAATATGTTAGATTTTAAGGAGTCCCGTGTCGGATTTGGTAGGACAGCTGACAAAAAATACCAAAACCTGCTGTAGCCTATATTTTAGAGAAAAGCAAACTATAATTTAGATCTTTGCAATATGACAATAAACATCGTTATTGTGATTAATTATGCCATAATACAATATGCTTTTCTGAACATAGTGTGATATAATCAGTAACACTAACCAACTGCACGTTTCATCATAAAGACTGTAGAATTAGTTGATTTAACTGGACAGTATCCAAATATTGAATAAAAATTATATAAAAAATATAAAAAAAAATATAAAAAATTTAATTTAAAATTTCTTGAAGTGGCACAATATTATATTTTTGCCATATCCCCAACCTCTTCTATAACTCTAAATATCTTAAACCCACAAGTTCATAATGAACACTGTGTGAATGCTGAAATGTCCACCATCAGTCATGATGCTGATGAAGTGAGATTGCGTAAGGCATGGCTCAGTAGATTGGATTATCTCAGTGGTATGGAGGATTTGACAGATGATATTTTACAATCTGGCTCAACCCCTTCATGTGCATAAGTGTGACTGTGGAAGCCTGAAATTCTGATAAAGTGCTCTCTACTCACTCAACCTGTAACATATAGGACACCTTCCAGATCAGTAAGAAGACTAGATGGGAATAGATCATACATATAAAACACACTCCAAGAAAACTGTTCAGTCTTTTTCTAAGACCAGCAGAGGGAAATCTTAAAGTCTAAGCATTGTTTATGAGGCTGGATTTTGAGTGTATTCTCAAAGGAAGCCTAATAGAGGCTGTTCATTTGGCTGAAATGAACAACCGCCATCCACTCAGGCAGTTTTCAGAGGGAGGAAGGACCCAGTCATGTCTGAATTAAATGTCTGCATAAGAAGCCGCCTGCTGAGGTAAATCCATCTGGCTGATTACTAAAGGCAGTGTAAGACTATCCTACATTCTCCATAATCCTGTGTATCAGCTGTGATGCAGTCAGGAGGGAAAGTGCAGAAGGGATGAGTGCCTGCACTGCTGTGGAGATCGAGAGGCCAGTCTATGAGTTATTTGTAAATGTTTAAAATTTCTGATGTGAAGTTACCAGTGTATCTTTCATCATTTTGGGAATAAAAGTATTTTGAACAGTGCACCAAAATGTTGCAGGGGTGTGATGTAATAAAGTAAAAAAACTTGATTTGAGATGGACTTTTTGGCCCACAGCCATTATTTTACCTCCATTTATTTAGTCTCTCTCTCTTTTTCTCTCTCTCTCTTACACACACACACACACACACACACACACACACACACACTGCTGATCCTGGAAACAGTAGATTTAGAGCAGTTGTTGCATAATTGCCCATAACGGTCCAGTGAGCAAACCTGATTACAGACTGAATTCAGCCATATACCATATGTGGCCTCTAGGACCATGTGGGCAAACTATAAGATAATGAAGAAAATGAATGCGTGTGTGTGTGTGTGTGTGTGTGTGTGTGTGTAGAAATTCTACTATTTTCTTCATTCAAACTTGGAAATAAACAACAGAACATGTTAGAATTTTTACAAATTTAAAACAAAGTTATGACAAATGAAAATGAAGACAAAATATTTGAAATTCTGCACTATTTCTAGGTCACTTTTCAAACAGATTTGTGATCATAGTAAAGCCTTTGTACAAAAAGTTGAGGTTTTTTGTTTTATTTCTTCCATTTCACTGCATGTTCAGACAATTCTCAGGTGGATTTGATCTACTGATCATAGGCTTCTACACAAACTTGTCCACGCCAGCTTAGGTGTGCACTGTCATTAAAGGAAAAGAAGGACATACCAAGAAGAAATTCTAAGAAATTCTGAAATGACGTTAAAATTTCAAAGGAATGAAATACATACAAACAAACAAATTTACTGCCTTCTTGCATCTACTCTTGCACTCCCTCAGTGTATTAATATAAGCTCTTTTTACTTCCTCAGTGTTTTTAAATAAACTCTTTTGTTATTTTCAGTAACACAGTTAAATTGCAAGGGGACTATATTAGCGCACTGTCCTGCTTCCATAGCGTTACTCTCACAGTTTCTATGGTGGATTTCTATGGTGTTGCGTCGCCGTTTCTCTGCTGTGGCGGTGTTCCGATTGGCGTCTGGATGCTGGCACCCTGGCCAGTGTACAGCGGTCTCTAGTATAATAACGTTACCAAGTTACACTAAGTGTAACGCTATCAATAAGCCTCTGCTCAGTGCACTTAAAGCCGCTGCAGTCAGCTCAGCAGATACCATCATCGTTTTCCTTTCATTTCACACTCGAAGGCAATGCTGAGTTGATTAGCTTGCTGGCCATTAGCTAGCCACTTATTCAAGCAGTAAAATGAACATAAACATGGTTTGAGAAGTGGTAATGAAATTCTGGGAACAAGAAGTCCGGCCAAGATTTCATTCTTTGCTGTCGCTCAAAGACGGATCATATTCAGACTCTGGAGCACTAACGGTCAGGAGCAACGGCAGAATTTCCCACACTTTATCTGAGCGTCTTAGTGCGCAAGCACACGGATTGGAACGCAGCCCTGTACCAGCAGTAAACATGGCGACGCTCATGCGGTACGTTGGAGGTGTGTGTACAGGACTTGAACCGACATGGACAGTCAGAATCAGCAGATATGTGAGACGCTCACCGCTGAGTGTCCGCCCCGAGTCCGAATCCTCAGGTCTACAAGACCTGCGGGTTAAAAGCCGAGACTCCGTTCCAGTGAACGAGACTGAAAGAAGTGTCGGTCAGAAACATGGAGACGAGGCTCGGGCTGCATCTCTGCACTTCACACACTCACATCCTCAGAAAACGGAGAGCAGAGAAGCTACTTTTCCTTCCAGGTTTTCACGTTTAAACCAGATAGACGGCTTGCGGTATGAAAAGGCCCAACCTGGTGACAAGAGACTGTCGTGAGTGTTAGCATTGGATTTCAGTAAACTGTAGTTAAAGTTCCACATAATTAAAGGGTTAAGATGCAAACAAAGTCATTCAGAGTGGTTTGGTGTGAATTAATATGCTCCGTTAATCGTGGTGGAGGAGTACAGGCAGGGTGTTGTAAGACAAAATAGTCCCCATAAAACATATTTTTTTCAGATTTTCCACTGTTTTATCATCATCAACATTACATATAAAACTCAGAAGAGAGGCCAAGGTTCTTTTGTGGTGTATTCGTGATGTTGACATTGTGATACCTAGTTCCTATCACCACCACTTTAAAGAAATCTGTATCAACCCGTATCTGTTGAAAGAGTCTGTAACTTCCTCTATTATGCACCATTTCATATCAAACTTCTCTAAAGGACTTTGTTTACATTGCAACAGACTTATGCAAAAATGTTGAAAAAGTGCTGGAATTCCACTTTAAAACTGTATCAGAGTAAATGAAAGTCATATGACCATACACTACCCCTTTATAAACCACAGTGCTTTTCTGTGCAGATTACATAACAGTGAGTGCAGCCTAAAGTAGCTTAGAAACCAATTAGAAAGGGCGTCTGACATATGTGGACATGTGTTTATCCTGATCATTTATGTGGGCGACAGTTGAAGCGTGAATTGATCTGTGAGCAATAGTCAAACCAGAAGTCATTAACTCAATTTTCGTATGAACTTTTGCAGACGTTTGGTTAACTTGGCTCACTCTAAGAAGCTTCGTGAACAACAAGGCAAAATTCTTCTGGAAGGAAGGCGTCTCATTAGTGAAGCTCTGGATGCGGGAGCTTCACCACAGAACATCTTCTTCACTACTGTGGAGAGACTTCAGGAGCTTCCCCTGAACAAACTCGCACAAGCTGGCTTAATCAGAGTCAAGCCAGAGGACATGAGAATCTGGTCTGATGTTGACACACCACAAGACCTCATAGGTAATGGCCAGGCCTTCTTATTTTGTGTTAGAATTGTATTTTATATATATATATATATATATATATATATATATATAAAATCATTATTATTATTATTATTATTATTTATTTTTTTTACTTATTCCTATATTCTGTTAAATTTAAAACATACCTGTCCATTTGTAGTCCTGTTTACATGCACTCCACTCTGGCTGGAGTTCGGTCCATTGGGGCCGATTAAAATCACAGAAAACCACAACTCAGTGGTCTGAGTCCACTTGAAATGATGAAATGGTCCAAGTGAGAAAACGCCCTTAGACTAACATCAATCCATTCGTGTACATGTAAACTTAGTAACTATAAACAGCCAAGCTGCCATTAATACAGACCAGTTGTTACAGGAAGGAGCTTCTGAGTCTCTCGTCCCCATTTATGGTGTTGACTGAAGCTTAAGAGCAGTGTATAAACTGACTGTGTTTGACAAGTCAAAGCTTTTAGTGTTTGTATTTAGTAAAGTTTCACTGTGGAATGAAGAAAGGCTAGAGGAGGTGCAGAAACTATGTGTAAAGAAAGCAGGCTATAAATCCCACCTCGTTACGGTCCGTGGTTAGAATTGCTTATAAAAAAACAGCTAGTGAAGGGCTTAGGAGGAACATTTCCATTCACCCTATAGCAGGCAGACTATAAAACTCACCTGTTATTTATATTCACAGCTGTCTTCAAACGTCCTGAAGTGTCCCAAATGCAGTTTTCTGAGGAGAAGTTTGGGAAGGCATTGCCGCTGACCCTTATCTGTGATAATGTGCGAGACCCTGGATACCTGGGAACAGCTTTACACTGCGCAGCTGCTGCTGGATGCCACAGCGTGCTGCTCACTAAAGGTATCTGCATAGCGGATATTCTCAATTTACTAAAATGACTCACTTAATTACTGCCAATTTTTAAATGGATGTAGATTTTGGACTTTGAACATCCATATATGTAAGGCATAGGATTTGAATTAATACAAATTCGCACCACTGATTATAGTAACTAAAGAAAATGGAATGCCTCTGTCAGTTGGTAAGGCTTAAGGCCTGTGCAAGTATATTTTTTGGATAAAAAAAACATGATTTTCATCAGAGTGGAACCCAAGTCTTCTTTTTTTTTTAAATTAACACTGAGAATGCCAGAAGAAGACAAATAAGGAAGGAAGAATGGATTCCTTGAAGTAGTAGTGATAACAAATGTATTGTTTTCTTGTAGTTGCTGCAATTAAAAGGTGTACACACTAGGTAAACCACATTGTACAAAAAACACTGCATGAACAGACTGTGATACACAAATGTACAAACAATGGATATAAACATATGTTGTAAAACTGGATGATATGGCAAAAATGTAATATCACGATAATTCAAGTTTTCACAGTACACAATATGTAGGAATGTTTTTTTCTGATACCTGATAAGCTGGTACAGACAAAGTAGTGCCACATATATATAAAAAAAATAGTATCAAAAACCATGAATCCAATTATTTATATTCCACTGCACCAAGGTACGTGGACATCTGACAAAGTATGTTTCAGACATTTAAAAAAAAAAAAGTGTTGAGCATTTTTATTAACCTGTTTTGAAAAAAAAAAAGAAAACTGAAGAAAAAAAAACATGTAAGACCACCACAGCGATTCGCGGAGAAACTGCGATAAGCTAGCATAAGGAAATGGAAACGGCGATATCTCAGAGAAGTGCATTTTAGTAACTTCTCAAGTAAAAGAAGTTTTTTGAGTCTGGCTCACATCTTCATTTTCAACATATGTTTAACTCCTTTTGCCAGAGATTATGGCTTTTTCTGTCAGACATAAAACACTTTCATTCACTGTTCTTAAAAAGTAATTAGTAGGCTGCAGTGCGACCTACCAGAGAAAGACTCAAAAACAGATCTAAATCGTCATATTTTACAGAACTAACAAGATGCCGGGTTAAAACTGAGGCAGGAAGCCGGTGTTATATATATTTAAGTGACAGTGTCCAATTTAATAGAGTTTAAATACTTTAATCAATGTGAAAGAGACATTAATATGTGCATGTTTGTTTTTAAAACTTGCCATGTGTTTTTTTCCAACTGTTAAAATCCGAATGGTATGAATAGGCCTTTACATTTACCATGCTTCTTTATTAAAAACACTTACAATAATATAAGTGCATCTCAATGGTCAATTTGAGATACACTTACTTTTTAGGTTTTACTATACATGTGCATTACATACTGTAGCCTATCTGAAGCCTGTCTGTAATCAGCTCTCCTCTACCCAATTCATTGGTAAATTTCTGACCACAAGATAGCGGTTGACCGGAGATTATTTGGGTGGTGAACTATTCTCAACACTACAGTTCGCTGACATGGCAGTGGCATGGTACAGGTGTATCTGGCACAGCAGTATTGCTGGGGTTTTTACACATATTTTTTACACATGCCAGTGTCACTGTCACCAAAAATATCCAACCAAGAGCGGCTCTGTGGTCAGAAGCTGACTATTGATAAAGGGTTAGAGGATGGCTAAACCAAACTGTACATCAGCAAAGTGGAGCTACAAATTAAGAGTTTCTAATAACGTGGCTAAAGAGTGTAGTACAGAGCTGAATATGTATGCGAATGTGAGTAAACAGTCATTTTTCAATCCTTTTTTTAGGCTGTGTTGATATCTGGGAGCCTAAAGTTCTTTGTGTTGCCATGGGAGCCCACTTTCACCTACCCATAATTCCTAGCCTTACCTGGACTGATATTCAGACTCACCTTTCTGCCAACACAACTGTCCATGTGGCTGACAACTGTAGAGGAACCACAAAGGAACCTGAATTCTCAGCAGCACCCCAGCAACAGAAAAAAGCCAGAGACTATGGATGGGTCAGCAGCCGCCATAACTCTTGGAAAATGCATTATGAGGATGATTTTAGCTATGGTGAAGACTATGAGAAGGATAGGTCGACAAGGCCGGTTTTAGAGACTCAACCTTATCATATCAGATGGGCCGGTAGGCATACGGCCGTGGTGATTGGTGGAGAGACTCATGGTCTGAGCCGCGAAGCCTTGCAATTGGCTGGTCAAACAGGGGGGCGGAGATTGTTGATTCCCATGGTGCATGGAGTGGACAGCCTGAATTCTGCCATGGCTACCAGTGTGTTGCTGTTTGAAGGGAGGAGACAACTGATGCATGTGACTGAATAGAAGAGGACAGGGTTAAAGGAAGACTCCAGTGTTTTTAAGCTTAATCTCCATCTGCCACATCTGTATTGTATTATCAGTTACCCTAGACAACAAATTTGAGCCGTTTTGCTGTAGGTGGAAAACATATGAAGTCAAAATACACTGGGAGGGCTGAAGCATTGGCTTCTGTTTATAAGTGTTTCAACAATCCATGGTTTTCTTGAACTGTTTATGCTCTGCATAGCCACAAAACAGAAGTTTAATAAGAAGAAAATCCTTTCTTTGCACATTGAATTCATCCGTGTTGCATTGCCTTAGAATGAATGAATTATTTCTGAGTTAAAATATCAAAATTTATCTCCAAGTTTAGTTCTATCAGGCTTATTTAATATTGGAAGTTTTGTTGTGCAGAGTACTCCAAGTGCAATGCACAGTAACATATTAGATCTTACCTGACATTGAGGGCCAAATGTATGTATGAGTGCAGCTGCAGCACAAAATGTGCCTTGCTATGTGCCTGAACTTAACTTTCAGTTTACTAAGACTGCAGCTTAGCATGCAAACTGTGTGCAGCCCCGCTCACTAACTGCTCACTCGGGAGGTGCAGGGTTTAAAAAAGGCAGTGAAATAATGCAGCCAGCAACATAATAGACAAGATAACAAGAGACAAAACAGAAATAAACTTCTTTCCCAATTAAACATTCTAAAGGGGTGTTACTTTAGTTTGGCTAAGAAGATAAAAGTTTATAAAAAGATGTGTTGTTGAAAGACTTCCTTTAACATTGGTAGAAGAAACAGCAGCTAGATGGAGGCAAAGTCAGCCTGTATGCACATACGGCTGCATCATGCCATATTTCGCGCTACATCTTCCCACACGTACATCTGGTCCAGAGAGTTTAAACAGTGTTATTCTGATGATAAATGTTCTTTTAGCATGTGTTCAAGGCTTGTGCCTCCATCCAGCTGCTGTTCTTCTACCAACGTTAAAGGAAGTCTTTTAACAACACCTCTTTTGAGACCCAAATACAAATTTACAGCTGGATTTAAAAGGTGGAGAGAACTTGGCGCAAGTTGTTCAAACTGTAGTTAATTTGCACAGCCCTCCATCAAATGCATATGCATGAGCAAGAGATGCGCATTTTGCATGTTTACCATGCCCACACACCGTAAACTACGCGTTTAGGCTCATTTGCCAGTTTCATGCATAACACGCAGGCAGAAAGAGTCCAGATAGGCTCAGTACATCATCAGACCCTGAGGGTTTCATCTGTCAGTCATAATAAATGCTCAATTTCTGATTTGTTCATTTATTAATGCTCAGGTGAAATGTTTACCACTACATTACACAGATTGTTAAAGACGCTTCACACAAAGTGGAGAAATGCTTCCAGTTGCCTCATATTTGCTACCGTACTTGCTACTTCTAAATCACTTTAATTCTGTTTCTTCAGTGTCCCATCACTCTCTAACTGGGCTGTAAAAGAATGACGCTGACATGTTATGACACCCGATCTGTGCAAGCTGTTGATCTCTGGTTCGACTTGTCAGCGCTGCTCAGTCTTAAAGAAGCAGCAACCTTTGTCATCCTTTGTTTTCCAGTGAGAGCTGACATTTTTGGACGTAATTGCCTGGCACACACTAATATATCCGACAGCCATTTATATTCAAACTTAATGTTAATGGCCGAGAAAATGCACAAACATCTGTTTGAATTAGTGTTAGTTCCAGATTCAGTCTAAAGGGTTTAAAGTCTTGAATATAGTACAGCTGTCACTACTCAAACTCGATTACTGGATTAAAAAAAGATCATCAGTTGAAATTTTACTTCTTGATAAATCAGCAACGATTAGTTGGCAAGTTTGCATGAGAATAATACAGATTTTCAAACTGCAAAAACAGATGCAGGTGGACAGTAAACTGGTTTGCAATCTCTGGAAGGGTTTGTTACCTAAGCGATAGAACATAAGAGAGAGGGCATTGTTACAGGCACAAGCTGCAGCTGTGATGTTATTAATGATAACATACGACCTTGAGTGTTCTGTTGCTTTTATACAATAGTTCTGCAAAATAAAGAAAAAAGTAAAACATAGAAGCCCCAAGCATTGAATTAAACATGCTTTAATATTTCCATTTCCTTCCACCACAGGGAAGGAAAAGTAGTATCGGTTGCATTACAGTCTTAAATGAGTCGCAATATCAGGTTCAGCTCATCTTTTACAGTATTTGATATATTAACTTAAAAGTAATTTTGTTCCAGTCAGTCTGTAAACCATTGAATCGTGTTCTGTTTGTTTCTGGCTAATTCCAGCATGTTTAGTTGTTCTCTCACAACTGCTCACCAAAACTTTGCTTAGGAGCAACGACAGGTTCAGAATTTGATGTAGGCCTGCTGTCACACTCTTCTTCAGAATCCGACCAAAGGGACTGCAGGTTAAATATTATTTTATAGAAGTTATCTAATGCAGTGTTTCTCAATCACCAGGCCATGGACCACAAGTGGGCCAGAAAGCACCCTGTGGTAGTTTTTGGCGGTGTGCTAAGGAGGAGTCCGTGGTGGTCCAGTGGGCCAGTGATGGCACTTAATCATAAAAATCAGTGAAAAAATAATTGTCAATTCAATTTCAATTGACAAACAATAAAATGTTTTCAAATGACAAACAATATTAAAACAAGTCATGCAACAACAGCGCATATCTACTTTTTGTCCTTTGCCTCTAGAAACAAAATTCCCTGCCCCAACATTTCAGTTATTCACTTGTGAGTGAAAAATGTTGCTTAATTTGTCAGCATCCCACCTGATCTCAGGTATAAAACAAGCATATGTTAGCCTAATCTGTTGATAGTTTATGTTTGCATATTGTGGCACCCAAACATTGCCATGTTGAAAATGTCCCAAAAAGTATTTTTGTTTTCCTGTGGGCCTTCATAAATAATAAATAGATAAACAGGTGGACCTTGAAGTGGAAAAGGTTAAGAATGCCTGATCTAACATACCCATTTTCTGTTTATTTATTTGCTAAAGTAGAAACTTAGTAACAGTTAGCTGCAGCATAAAGTGATCATCAAAAATAATGAGAATATGTTCTATATTTTAAAGGGCCCATATCCTATATTTTTCTTGTGTTTTTCTTTTCTCTGATGCCCACGTTTGTGTGGTGTTGTGTACCACGAACAGTCATAATTCATGGCCATTTGGCCATTTTCCAATCTCTCTTTATTCCTTAGAAGTAAACATACTGGCTTTGTTACTGTCCCTTTAGGACTCATATATGTATGTTTTCTCTGTTTAGATTGCCTGTCCTGCATTAATTCATATTCAAATGTGTCAGTTTTTGTGACATCACAAAAAAACAATGAATTAAGAACAGGCTGTATTTGCAGCCTTCCCTGTATGAACCATATAGACTGTAAAATTGATGGTCCATTTTGAAACCTTAACAAACATAAAACATTGATTTCTTATTTAAAAAAAAAGAGTAAAATTTTGTTTTCCATGATGAGGGCCCTTTAAAGAGACATTGTCAGTCTTTAAGAGCGAGATTTCCAACAGATAACTGCACAGAACACAACCCACCACACTGTGTCATCAGAACTAACTGTTGTTTAATGTTCTGTTATTGGTTGGCCTTTTTTTAAAAGCTCATTGTATAGTATGTCTTTCAGGATGCAAACACTGTGACTTCAACGGCACCCACAAGTCTTCAGTACCTTTACTTAGACAACGCAGTACAGTATACCATAGTACATCCTGACCTTTTTAAGGAAAGGTACAGATATGCCTTTTTCCCTTGTGAAAGTTCATTTAATGGGACCTTAACGACATTGTAGTACCTTTGAGGGTATATTTGCATGGTTTTACCTCAAAAATCCACCTGTACAATACTTTTTTTTCTGACCACGTTTGTTGTTTGTTTTTACAGTTGCATGTGGTGTAAATAAGGAAAACGTTCACTTGAACTTGTATTAAAATGTCAGGCCTACTATATCCTGCTGTGTCTGATGAACATTCTTTTCTAGACACACACGTACGGTCGTCTGGAAAGAATAATCCCTTCCCTGCTGTGGCGGCGCCCCTCTAACCTAAAAATCCTTACTGTGTGTAACCGAGCAGCAGGAATGACTTCACATGCACGACTTCCAAAGTGGAGCACAGCATGAGACAATGTCAGGCAATTACAGTGGCCCACCCACACTGACTCACACTGACTAGAAATACGCTTATCACTCTCCGAAATAAGGTACTAAGCGGTCACGGGGGGTGGGGGGCTACCCCCATAGATACGTCTTCAGTACCTTTAGTCAGGCAGCATAATTGTACCATATTCCATTGCAGTTCAATTTGACTCCACGTGTCCTGCTCTGACTTCAGCCTCTAGTTTATTGTTCTGTTTTGAAACATTACATTCTGAATAGGTACACATATGTTAAGGCACACAGTTTGACCTTAAAATCGTTGTACACTCTTAAAAAATGATGGTTCTTCAAGGGTTCTTTCTAAAGCACCATTTCATGCTTAAATGAATCTGTGCGTGGTTCATTTAAGCATGAAATGGTTCCATTTATGGTACATTTACATTGTTTGTTCCTTGATGAACAATAAAGGTACCTGCGCAGTTTGGTGATTTCTCTGCTCTAACACCTGGTAACCAGTCATGTGCACAGATAGACCCCAGAGAAGGTTTGAGCTCTGGCCCTTTTGCTCTTTTGTACAAGTGCCCTCCTGGTAGTCGTGGAGAATAACTGCCAATGTTCAGGATCCATTTCACAAAACGAGGCTCAGTCTCGCTCTGGGAATAGAGCTAGCGGTTTGGTTTGGTTTGGGTTCAACAAGCCTTACTGCTCTTGGCCACTCCCTCTGGTGCAGCACCAGCCACCTAAAAAGATTTAGTGTATCAGTATTTCCGCATCACAGCAGTGTTGGAAATCCCACCCATAAATACTGTTCATGTCTCTTTAAAGTAGGTGTGGGGAACTCACCAGATTTAGTAGGTGTGTTAGAGCAGGGAAATCGTCAAACTGTGCTCGACTCGGGCCTTCAGTTCCTCACCCCTGCTTTAAAGGGCCCATTTCACATAAAACTGAATAAATAAAATAATTTGATGTTGTATGTAAACATTTTTAATGTTTAAAAATGGATAGTTGTCTCCAGAGTCCATACAGTTCATATATAGAAACTAAGCTGCCTGCTTTGAATGA